AAATTAACTAAAAATAAAGCTCCAATCCCAGATGTTTCCAAGCAGCACAGCAGTGATGACTTTATGACCTTCTTTACTCACAAGATTGATAATATCAGGGAGAAATTATAACTATGCAAACATCTAATACAGTATCGCGTCAGACAGTGCATTTTAGTCTCCTTGAGGAAATTTTTTATTCATTCATTGCTATAGGATAGTTTTATTCATTCATTGCTATAGGAATTTTTATTCATTCATTGCTATAGGGGAGGAAGAATTTTCCAAACTCGTTAAATCATCTAAATCGACAACTTGTATGTTAGACCCTATACCGACAAAGCTAATGAAAGAGATGCTTCCAGGTCAAAGATCCTCTTCTTAATATCATTAATTCATCTTTGTCATTAGGATACGTAACAAAAACTTTTAAGCTGGCTATGATTAAACCGCTTGTTAAAAAAACGCAACTTGATCCTACAGAATTAGTTTATTAAAGGCCGATCTCGAATCTACCTTTTCTGTCAAAGATATTAGAAAAAGCAGTATCCTGAAAGAAATGATATCTGCGAGGATTTCCAGTCAGGATTTAGACCGTACCATAGTACCGAGACAGCTCTCATCAGAGTCACAAATGATTTGCTTCTTATCATCCGATCGTGGTTGTATTAGTGTTACTAGATCTTAGTGCTGCATTTGATACCATCGACCACAACATTCTTTTAAATAGACTCGAAAATTATGTTGGCATTAGTGGAATTGCATTAGCATGGTTTAAATAATACTTATCTGACCGTTATCAGTTTGTAGCAGTAAATGAAGAGATGTCTAATCGATCACAAGTTCAGTATGGCGTACCACAAGGCTCAGTACTAGGACCGCTGCTGTTCACTCTGTACATGCTACCCTTAGGAGATATCATTAGGAAACATGGAATTAGTTTTCACTGTTATGCTGATGACACTCAGCTCTATATTTCTTCACGCCCTGACGAAACTTACCAATCCACAAAATTAACGGAATGCATAGCCGATATAAAAAACTGGATGACTAGTAATTTCCTACTACTTCTGAAAAAAAAAACAGAGATTCTAATTATTGGACAAAAAACTTCCTCACGTAATAACCTAGAATACTGTCTAACACTTGATGGCTGCTCTGTCAAGTCTTCGTTGTCGGTTAGGAACCTGGGTGTGCTCTTTGATATCAATCTTTCATTTGAAAGTCACGTTTCTAGCATCTGTAAAAACACATTTTTCCATCTTAAAAATATAATTACGTTATATGCTCTCATTGACAAATGCAGAACAGTTAGTTCATGACCTCAAGGCTAGATTATTGTAATGCTCTACTGGGTGGTTGCCCTGCATGCTTAATAAACAAACTACAGCTGGTCCAAAACGCAGCAGCTCGAGTTCTTACCAGAACCAGGAAGTATGACCAAATTAGCCCAGTTCGGTCAACACTGCATTGGCTCCCTATTAAACATCGTATAAATTTTAAAATATTGCTGATTACTTACAAAGCACTAAATGGTTTAGCTTGAGCGAGCTCTTAACGCATTATAGTCCGTCACGTCTATTGCGATCTCAAAACTCTGGCCAGTTGATAATACCTAGAATATCTAAATCGACTGCTGGCGGTAGATCCTTTTCCTCTCTAGCACCAAAACTCTGGAACAGTCTTCCTAACATTGTCCGGGAAGCAGACACACTCTGTCAGTTTAAATCTAGATTAAAAACACATCTCTTCAACCTGGCATTCATATAGAACATTATACATTCTTATTATTCAAAGAGTTTACGCAGATTATTAGGCTGCATAGATTAGATCAGCCGGAACTGGGAACACTTCCTATAACACCTGATGTACTCGTTACATTATAAGAAGAATGGCATCTACGCCTGTTTATTCCGAGGTTAACTGTAATCAACCGGACCCGGGCCGTATCCAGATCAGATGGAGGACCTGCGCCTGGACACGGCCACAACACATCCCTGAAGTGCCAGCCTCATCAGCCCTGTGAAGGCCTCATGGACTCGACAGCAATCGGCACTGATCCTCAACAAACTCGTCTCCATACCGGCGTGACTCCGATCTTCAACCATATGGAACTGGATAAATATTGGAATATTCTGATACAATCTGACTTCTGACCTGTAATGTTGCCTGAATCATAATCATACACTGTTCGTTCGTTGGCCAGAGGAGAACTGAGCGACTGAGTCTGGTTTCTCCCAAGGTTTTTTCTCCATTCTGTCACCTGGTGGAGTTTTGGTTCCTTGCCACTGTCGCCTTGGCTTTTGGCTTGCTTAGTTGGGGAGATTTAATTTTATATTTAACAATATTATTACAACATTATTTTCCGGTTATCTCTGTAAAGCTGCTTTGAAACAATCTGTATTGTAAAAAGCGCTATATAAATAAAGGTGACTTGACTATTAATACAACATATGTACACATGTTGCTGTAACTTACCAAAGTCCATGATACTCCCTCCTCCATGGCAATCTCTGTCGGGCACAGGGAAAACGCATTAGCACTACAGCAAAGAGGTCATTTCAGAACAAAAACAATAGGCAAAGAAACAGTCTCTTCTGCTCACCAAGTCTGTATTTATCAGATCGAAAATACAATAATTTTGTGAAATGTTTTTACCATTTAAAATCACTGTTTTCTATTTGATAATTTGCAAAATGCTATTTATTCCTGTGATGGAGATGATTACTCTTCAGTGTCACATGATCCTTCAAAAATCAGTCTAATATGATGATTTTCTGCTCAAGAAACATGTCTGATGATTATCTATGTTGAAAACGGTATATTTATTAGTGAAGTGTATTTTTACGATCTTTTGCATTGTGACAATCAGGACAATTAAGCAGTTTCCCCCAGTTCTCATTAATGTAATGGGAAAACAATGATATATATTTTGTTCAACATGGTATTTTTTAATGTTGCATTTAATTTTTGTTGATTTAAATAAAAAAAATTGTAGCTATAATTTTTACTATAAAAAACCCCTCAAAAGTTAAATATCTGGATGCAATACAATCTGGGATGAAAGTGTGCCACAAAAACAGTCACAATGCACAAAATCAGGTTTCATTCTTTATGCAAAATAGAGTTTGGTTTTTATTTTGGGGTGAAATGTAAAAATCCAAGGCTTTTCAAATCAATGCTAAAACTGGTCTTCATACAAAATGCATTTACATCTTTATAAATTCACTCTGTACACAGTGAATTCACTGTTCAGTGACATTCAAGAAACCAAATCCTTTGCAAGCATCGTGTGCATTTCTTCTAAAGAACGAGTTGTGTGAATTACTCACCCAAACACCGCTAGAGAAAACGAACTGTCCTTTCTCCTCGATCCATTGAGTCCACAGCTGATTTGATAACTTGATAGTAGAGTAAAAAGCAATTGTCACTTTATCATCTGTTTTGCCGTCCTTTAAGATGCACAATCTTCACTGTGCAAAACTCGTGGATCCATCCAGATACACTGAACATCCTGGTCATTTTCAAGAGGCAAGTGTCTGAGTGGAGGTGAAGTTAATACTGCTGTCACATCAAGCCAAAGAGTGAACAGAGCAGCTATTTCAGACGCGCAGATTTAACAGCTAATCCACTTACTCCTGCAGAAGCCCATTTCTCTGACCTCACAGGCTCCATCCCCATCGTGGCTGTCTGAACTCCTATTTCATGGGGTTATTCCAGAAAGAAAATGAGGGGGAAACAATTTCCTTCTATGATTGTCCAGAATTTCAGCAAAATAATTTCTCCTTTACATAAACACTGCATTCATCAAGCCCCATATATTGCACATATTCAGTTTCTTTTTGTGTACGACTATTGATTCAACTGTTAAAAAGGCCAATGCAGCTCTACTGAACCCAGTGACTGAAAATGAGGTGACTTTCGTTCTCAAAGATTTGCAAACTGATGGACTTACAGTAAATCTGATTAAAGGAGAGTCTTAAGTAGGAAGTTAACAAACAGCTGACGCACTGCTCCACCGGCATCAAGAGATGAACTGATGCAGCGAGACCAAGCGCATTTAAAGGCAAAGGACACCACGACACTTCAACTGAATAAAAGTATAGCTCTGATTTATTATTGTTTATGAATGAAGGACACAGATGACATGAATAATCATAGATCGTGTACACCAGTAATTGTCCCTCTTCAGAGTCAGTGCATCATCACACATGCCATAACCCACCATATCACTGCAGGAATCATGTTTGCTGTTGGTCTCAGTGACCGTGTAAACACCAGACACGGATCCGTCAACTCGGTTCACCTAAACCGGTGTTTCTACAACAGGTGTTTTTGATTAATGCAAACAAGTTAAGATTACATGCATTTAAAAACACAGTGTAATACACTGTAATGACAATGACACACTATTCTGATTAATAACATGTCGACAAAACAATTAAAAACATTTTCCGAATGATAGGCCTCAAAGATGATGATGTTTTCAGAAGCATTACTGCAGAGCCACTTCTCTGGATGTGGATGAAATGTGCCAGATTACTTGGGTTGACTTGTTTCCAATAAAGTCCATCATCAAACTCTCGGTCAAGCCGGGAAATCACATTAAGGGCTTCGCTAGCGAGATTACCTGAGTTCACCCAGGATCAGGGGTCATTCGGGAGCCCTCGCCTCATCGATATCCAAACACCTCCTAATGCTTGCGTTAGACGCAACTGCACAATTTGACAAACTACATAGAAAAACTATTTTATATTAATTGGTCACCAGCTCAAGCTTTTTTTGTCCATAAAAAAACAATTATGAATCTGAGAAGGGAAAAGTGCTCGGTACTAGCTGTCCCTTAACCACTGAACAACAGCATTCTGGGATATTATTCACAGGCTTGAAAATTATAAAATAAAGTATATTATTTAAAAACAAAACAGCATTTTAATTTGTGAGTGCAACTGATTTTCATTATCACAAAAAAAATGAATAAAACTATTAGTGTACAGTATGTGTGTATTGATGCGTCTGTATGTTTGCGAGGGCGAATCAAGCCCCTCTTGTAGAACACACGTCAGCTCTTCATTGTTCCCTTTGTTTGGCTGGTATTGAGATCCACATAGTTAACGTGTTTTCCAGTAGACATTTACTTCTTTTTCTTCTTCTGATTCCCTTTTAGAGAAAAACTACTGTCAGTATGGATCATAATAATAACATACACAATCTACCACACTCTGTGATGACAACAAATATAGTTAGCTGGATATTCAGGTTAAAGGAATAGTTAAAAATGTCCTGATTATTTGCTCACCCCAGGCCATCCCGGATGTACATGACCCTTTCTTCACACGAAGACAATTAAGGAAACCATTTCAGGATGTTTCCGCATCTAATGCAAGTGAACGGGGATCACCATAGGCCATTTTCGACGGTCCAAAATCCATATTTAGGAGCTTTAAAGGGCTCCACATGACCTCAGCTGACAAACAAGGGTCTCAGCGAAACAATCAGTCATTTTCTGAATAATAATAATAATAATAATAATAATACACAACTACAAATGTCTGCCTCGGTCCAGCTGTGCGATGCGAGACGGTTGAGTTCACCAGCGTGAGCTTCCCAGCATGCACTACAGCAAGAAGCGCCCGCTGTGTGGAGGAGCAGCACAGTGCAAACGCTCCTGGCTGCATCTTAAAGGGATAGTTCACCCAAAAATGAAAACTAGCCCATGATTAACTGACCCTGAAGTCTTCCTAGGTGTATATGACTTTCTTCTTTCAGACGAACACAACCAGAGTTATATTAAAAAATGTCCTGGCTCTTCCAAGCTTTATAATGGGAGTCAATGGGTATATTCTTTGGAAGTCCATAAATGTGCTTCTCGGCTCGGCTGCTCTTCTCCACTGACTGGTGCGGCTCGGCTGCGCTTCTCCACTGACTGGTGCGGCTCGGCTGCGCTTCTCCACTGACTGGTGCGGCTCGGCTGCGCTTCTCCACTGACTGGTGCGGCTCGGCTGCGCTTCTCCACTGACTGGTGCGGCTCGGCTGCGCTTCTCGACTGACTGGTGCGGCTCGGCTGCTCTTCTCCACTGACTGGTGCGGCTCGGCTGCGCTTCTCCACTGACTGGTGCGGCTCGGCTGCGCTTCTCCACTGACTGGTGTGGCTCGGCTGCTCTTCTCCACTGACTGGTGCGGCTCGGCTGCGCTTCTCCACTGACTGGTGCGGCTCGGCTGCGCTTCTCCACTGACTGGTGCGGCTCGGCTGCGCTTCTCCACTGACTGGTGCGGCTCGGCTGCGCTTCTCCACTGACTGGTGCGGCTCGGCTGCGCTTCTCCACTGACTGGTGTGGCTCGGCTGCTCTTCTCCACTGACTGGTGCGGCTCGGCTGCGCTTCTCGACTGACTGGTGCGGCTCGGCTGCGCTTCTCCACTGACTGGTGTGGCTCGGCTGCTCTTCTCCACTGACTGGTGCGGCTCGGCTGCGCTTCTCCACTGACTGGTGCGGCTCGGCTGCGCTTCTCCACTGACTGGTGCGGCTCGGCTGCGCTTCTCCACTGACTGGTGTGGCTCGGCTGCTCTTCTCCACTGACTGGTGCGGCTCGGCTGCTCTTCTCCACTGACTGGTGCGGCTCGGCTGCTCTTCTCCACTGACTGGTGCGGCTCGGCTGCGCTTCTCCACTGACTGGTGTGGCTCGGCTGCTCTTCTCCACTGACTGGTGTGGCTCGGCTGCTCTTCTCCACTGACTGGTGCGGCTCGGCTGCTCTTCTCCACTGACTGGTGCGGCTCGGCTGCGCTTCTCCACTGACTGGTGTGGCTCGGCTGCTCTTCTCCACTGACTGGTGTGGCTCGGCTGCTCTTCTCCACTGACTGGTGCGGCTCGGCTGCTCGGCTGCTCTTCTCCACTGACTGGTGCGGCTCGGCTACGCTTCTCCACTGACTGGTGCGGCTCGGCTGCGCTTCTCCACTGACTGGTGCGGCTCGGCTGCTCTTCTCCACTGACTGGTGCGGCTCGGCTGCTCTTCTCCACTGACTGGTGCGGCTCGGCTGCTCTTCTCCACTGACTGGTGCGGCTCGGCTGCGCTTCTCCACTGACTGGTGTGGCTCGGCTGCTCTTCTCCACTGACTGGTGCGGCTCGGCTGCGCTTCTCCACTGACTGGTGCGGCTCGGCTGCGCTTCTCCACTGACTGGTGCGGCTCGGCTGCGCTTCTCCACTGACTGGTGCGGCTCGGCTGCGCTTCTCCACTGACTGGTGCGGCTCGGCTGCGCTTCTCCACTGACTGGTGCGGCTCGGCTGCTCTTCTCCACTGACTGGTGCGGCTCGGCTGCGCTTCTCCACTGACTGGTGCGGCTCGGCTGCGCTTCTCGACTGACTGGTGCGGCTCGGCTGCGCTTCTCCACTGACTGGTGCGGCTCGGCTGCGCTTCTCCACTGACTGGTGCGGCTCGGCTGCGCTTCTCCACTGACTGGTGCGGCTCGGCTGCGCTTCTCCACTGACTGGTGCGGCTCGGCTGCGCTTCTCCACTGACTGGTGCGGCTCGGCTGCGCTTCTCCACTGACTGGTGCGGCTCGGCTGCGCTTCTCCACTGACTGGTGCGGCTCGGCTGCGCTTCTCCACTGACTGGTGCGGCTCGGCTGCGCTTCTCCACTGACTGGTGCGGCTCGGCTGCGCTTCTCCACTGACTGGTGCGGCTCGGCTGCGCTTCTCCACTGACTGGTGCGGCTCGGCTGCGCTTCTCCACTGACTGGTGCGGCTCGGCTGCTCTTCTCCACTGACTGGTGCGGCTCGGCTGCTCTTCTCCACTGACTGGAGCGGCTCGGCTGCGCTTCTCCACTGACTGGTGCGGCTCGGCTGCGCTTCTCCACTGACTGGTGCGGCTCGGCTGCGCTTCTCGACTGACTGGTGCGGCTCGGCTGCTCTTCTCCACTGACTGGTGCGGCTCGGCTGCGCTTCTCCACTGACTGGTGCGGCTCGGCTGCGCTTCTCCACTGACTGGTGCGGCTCGGCTGCGCTTCTCCACTGACTGGTGCGGCTCGGCTGCGCTTCTCCACTGACTGGTGCGGCTCGGCTGCGCTTCTCCACTGACTGGTGCGGCTCGGCTGCTCTTCTCCACTGACTGGTGCGGCTCGGCTGCCCTTCTCCACTGACTGGTGCGGCTCGGCTGCGCTTCTCCACTGACTGGTGCGGCTCGGCTGCTCTTCTCCACTGACTGGTGCGGCTCGGCTGCGCTTCTCCACTGACTGGTGCGGCTCGGCTGCGCTTCTCCACTGACTGGTGCGGCTCGGCTGCTCTTCTCCACTGACTGGTGCGGCTCGGCTGCCCTTCTCCACTGACTGGTGCGGCTCGGCTGCGCTTCTCCACTGACTGGTGCGGCTCGGCTGCTCTTCTCCACTGACTGGTGCGGCTCGGCTGCCCTTCTCCACTGACTGGTGCGGCTCGGCTGCGCTTCTCCACTGACTGGTGCGGCTCGGCTGCTCTTCTCCACTGACTGGTGCGGCTCGGCTGCGCTTCTCCACTGACTGGTGTGGCTCGGCTGCGCTTCTCCACTGACTGGTGCGGCTCGGCTGCTCTTCTCCACTGACTGGTGCGGCTCGGCTGCTTCTCCACTGACTGGTGCGGCTCGGCTGCTCTTCTCCACTGACTGGTGCGGCTCGGCTGTGCTTCTCGACTGACTGGTGCGGCTCGGCTGCGCTTCTCGACTGACTGGTGCGGCTCGGCTGCGCTTCTCGACTGACTGGTGCGGCTCGGCTACGCTTCTCCACTGACTGGTGCGGCTCGGCTACGCTTCTCCACTGACTGGTGCGGCTCGGCTGCGCTTCTCCACTGACTGGTGCGGCTCGGCTGCGCTTCTCCACTGACTGGTGCGGCTCGGCTGCGCTTCTCCACTGACTGGTGCGGCTCGCTTTGAATGGCAGCACGCTGCCTCTGTTGAGGTTCCAACTAGTGTTGCTTTCGTCAACGAAAATTATGACTAAATATCGTCGTCAACGAACCTTTATCATGTGACGAAAACGAGACGCAACGTAAATGCTGGTCATGTGACGATGACTATGTATAATGCAATATTGTTGACGAATAAAAACGAGACTAAATGTGGTTTACAAAATAAAAACTATGCTAAAATGTCTCTTCATTTTCGTTGACCAAAACGAGATGAAATGTTATACGTTATTTCGTCTCGTTAACTTGCATTATTATTATGCAGCATTTCTGTTTCGTGTGTCACTTCAGGGGCTGCATCAGATCGCACTGCGCAGACGCAGGCGACTTCACATCCTCAAGCCCCACTCGCGGCATTATTTAGAAGATGCAGCTGCGTGAGTTACGGCTGTTTCACACATACTCCGTGTGTAGTGCTTATGCGGTGCGTGTTGCGGTGTGTATGCAGGAGCAGCACGAGCTATTGTGCTTTCACATGTGCTCCGTTTGCAGTGCGCAACTGATCTACGGCTGTACCACTGAATCACAACCTTTATTCTCTATTTTTTATTTCAAATCAATATTTTTAGCCTACATCAATTATGTCGCGTTGTTGAGGAACTGTGTAGATCTCTGCTCTGCTGTTATGCACGCACCGCTCCTTGCCGGACCGCATCCGCGTGCGGTGTGAGCGCTCTAACCATAGGCTCTATGGGTGCGGGAAGAAATACGCACTGCAACCGGAGTATGTGTGAAACAGGCGTTAGCATAAACGACAACAAACAAAGTTAAGTCTGACACAGAGAAAGGGATTCGTCTTTGGGAGAAAAAGAAGAAATGACATTTGGAAAAACTTTCATTTCATCATGTGTGTAGGCTACTTCTAACATGTTTGGTTGGTAAAATAAAGAAGAATTTTTGTAAATTCAAATCAGAACGTCTTCCGTGTCTGGAATGGAAGTAATCTTGAGTCTATAAGGTAACAATAATATAAGAAGATAACTATAAGAAGATAAGATTGTTTGAAATGGGTTTGGCTAAAAGAAAATTTTGGTTTCGTCTATACCACTAGGTACTAATACTATATTGACTTGGTTAAATAGAATTGCATTACTAAAAAGAGACTAAAATACAATTTTCATTGACTAAAACTAGACTAAAATACAATTTTCATTGACTAAAACTAGACTATGTCTTTCGTCGACTAAAACTAGACTAAAATGTCATCCGTTTTCTTCGACTAAAACTAGACTAGACTAAAAAGAGTATGAACGTGACTAAAACGAATAAAAACTAAAATGACAGCTTGACACAAAGACTAGACTAAAACTCAAATTAAAACAGGCCGCCAAAAACAACACTAGTTCCAATCACACCGTACCGATACTAAACTGTGACGTGAAAACACTACAGATGACTGATTGGTCCGAGGATTTGCAACACGAGACACCAAACCGCTAGATTTAAATAGTCTGCAACAGCCACCGCAGTTTTATTTGTTTGCACAATTTTTATTAAACGACTTAAAATAAAAAAAGAAACTTGAAAAAAGAAATGGCTGGTCAGTAGACGAGGTGCAGACGTTCCTCCCGTTGGTAGCTGAGGAGCGGATCCAGCGAGAGATCAAGCTTTTCAGCAACTTTAACGAGCAATCTCTAAACCCGCCCACTTTGAAGCGGTAGCCTTCTAAACTGCAGTGGAAAAGCGCCGAGTCGTACCTGGCAGTGGACAAGCAAAGCCATAAGGGGCCGTTCACATCTCGCGTCTTTAGCGTGCTCAAGTTCGTTATTTCAAATGTAGGCGCGCTCGTTTTTCCAGGCTCTATGCGAGATGCAAACATCTCAACCTTTCAGAATGCCGCAAGGCGCACCGCATGTCATGTGACAAAAAAACGATCAGCTTCGGCCTTTCCGTGACAACATGGAAATCATAGCTGTACAGGGCGGTTTTTATTTCACATCTCCATAAACATATCTAGTAAAGCTAATGCAAGGGCTAGAAATCAACTAATGCTTTGCTGATACTTCCTCGTCATCATGGAGAGCGCAGTTAGTGGTTGCATAGCAACGACAGACACCACGCGAGCGCTTGAAGGAGACATCACTTTCCACGCGTTTAGCATAGGGAAGTGATATGATGCGCTGCGCTATGAAACCCATTTCTTTAAGGCAAGTTTGTGTGGATCACGTGATTTTTTTTTTCAACAGACAACATTGGTCCAGCACAGAGTCTTTGTTCAAAAAACTTTTTTGTAAAAAAAAACAAAAAAAAAACATGTTATTCGCACACGTCCACCTAAATGCACTTTACAGTTTATTTTCACACGTCTATTTTCAGTCGCAAATGCGAGTGCAATGCTCGCACTGCCTCCATCCGTGAACATGATTCATGACTTCCACACATCTCTGGATGGGAAAGACAACATCTCCCATCGTCCCACTGTCCTTCGTAGCGTCATCAAGCTTCCTCTTTGCTATCGTTTTGAAAATGCGACCTCTGTCGGAGAAAACTTACATATTGTACCTTTAAAGCTTCTTTTAGAAAAAATTCTGGAATGTTTTCCTCTAACCTTGATTTCTTTTTGGTTGAAGAAAGAAAGTCATGTACATCTTGGATAGCTGGGGGCTATTAGTAAATAATCAGGACATTTTAATTTTTGGGTGAACTTTTAAATGGTCCCACGTTAGCGGTGACTGTAAACCGGTCCGATCAGTGTAGCGGCGGGTCGGTCTCTCACCTGTGGAGCTCCACATCGTGCGGCTGAGCTTCTCTCCTAACAGGTAAAGAGGAGCCATGGAGAGGGACGCGCCGCCCAGGAACACACACAGGCCCACGGGACTCAAGTGAGCCATGATGGGGTACACCCAGATCCCTGAGGCGTGGTGCACCCACAACACCCTGATGAGGGACAGAAGCACACGTCAGTGCCGACAGGACACGCGAGGAGAACCAGGGGCTGGTTTCACAAAGCTATTATAGACCAGTCTATAGTGTTAGACAAGTCTAAAATGTGCTCATAGACTAGCCTAATGCAAGTTAGACTGTTTCACAAAAATAGTTAATTTTTACTTAATTTAGACCAAAAAAATTAGACATCTTACCCCCAGGCTAACTTTGGTCTAAGACTCTGTTACCTTGGCAACCGGCAGTAACAATCAGTTACACTACAAACAGCCGAAAGAAAAGGGAAAATGACCGTTACCATATATATTCATCACCATTTCAGTGTTTTTAAGTTTCTCTTGGGGTCCTCCTCCCGTTTTTGGATATTTCCTCTTAAAGGAGTCATAATGTAGTATTAACTTTGATACCCACGCTCTATTATAGTCATTTCATGCCCTTCTAAAAAAGAAAAATTGGAAAAAAATAAACACAGAGCTCGTTTGACCCTTATTTCTGAATGCATTATTGTCTCGCGAGATCTGATGCGAGGTTTTGGCTGTCGTGGACGGTCATTTTAATAATGCAAATGAGGGGCGTGTTGATTGGTGGCAGGAAGGAGGGGGCTTGACACCGCAGGTAACTTCAGCATATCATTACAAAAAGAGATCATGGCGCAAGTTGTTAATGAACCCGACCTGGCCGCGACCTACGGGATTCAACCGTGTTTGAGCCAGACTCTGAACCAGAGCTGGAAACGGAAGAGGAACAACAGTCAATTGAATGACGTCTACATCAACATGTCTCTGAATGGTAAAGACAATTTTTTTGACTGAGACATACATTAACATCAGTAACGAGCTAAAACGTTTTTTTGCTATTTTCTCCCACATAAGTTTAGCTTTAATTTAATGTAGATTACATTAACGGAGATGTAGTCTACTTTATTTTCAGCTTACAGTGGTTATAGAGATTAACGTTTGCTATAATGTGTTGTTTTTGCCTTTTTTGACGTTTTTTTTGACGTTGTGGTTTTTTAGATATTTAATCAATTTCATCTGCAGACATGTAACGTTATGTTTTTCTTTATGTTTATTAATTCTTGACTGTTTTTTAAATTTATCTATCATATAAAAAAATCAATACAATGATATGTTGTCATTGTTATATTATATACGATTATATTAAATAATAGCTGTATCATTTTCTAGTCTGTTTATCACTGAGGGAAAACTTCATAATTGCCAACTTCGCCTGATATTGCCCCAAATTTGTAAAAGATTCTTTTGTGAAATGTTTAGCGCAGACACCTAACGTTGAGCAAGTTGGAGATGGTTGTTGGAACAGCGTCATTAAAAATAAATTTCATCCACTTGTAGTTTGGTCAGTTTTGGGTAAAGAAAAAACATTAGAATGTGGATTATGACAGTCAACCACAGAGCAACTCACGTGTGCACTACGTTTCTGCATCTTTCTTGACTGAATATGATGGGGAGAGGGGCAGGGCGGGCCTCCTCTGCGGTGTCCATATATGGTATATCCGGCCCCGTCTTGACGTCAAGTCGGGGGAGAAATTGAAATCTCGTATTTGAGTGCGCGTGCACGTTGGCTAGTTTAAGAACCCTGGGGTAAACAAACGCTTCACTTTTGAATATCGGCATCCCGGCCAATGTATAATCGTTAGTCAATCATAACATACATTGATTATCATGGAAAAGTGAAAATTGCACATTATGACTCCTTTAAATATTTATTTTTTGGCATCTTGTACAATGTTTTTGTATCTTTTCTGTACGTCTTTAACGCTCCGCTCAGCGGTCGGATTAACGCTGTTAACTGTTGAGCAATCTTTGTCCAAATTAAACATTTCCGCGTTACTACATTCTCCGCTAAATTTCCCAAGTAAAATTTCCTTGTAACTGTTACACTCCTCCAACAAACACATAACTCCCGCTGGGGTAAACTGCACTGAGCGGTTGAATGCGCTTACTCGATCCGCCATGTTTTTTGTTTTGAAAAGTCTTATTTTACCCAGAATGCATTGCAGTCCTACTTCAGATAGTCAGAGTCTTCAGTGCTTCGTGCAACGGTCTGATTTAGATGTCTATCTGAAGTCTGACTATCTACGCCATAGTCAAAGTCTGTCTTTGTGAAACCGGCCCCAGTGTGTGTGAGCGATGCAGGCAGAGCGGGTTTACCATGACAAATACAGGACAGAAAACAGAGCCAGCGCAGCAATCCCTTTAGTGCGACTGGGATACGTGTGATTCTGCAGGAACATCTGGAGCAGCAGCAAAGGCATGATCACCGTGTGCTGGAGGACACAGATCAGGAGAACACATATCAGCATCTGCTATTCATCACTTCAATGAGCTCACTGTTACAGTGCTTAAATTATTACAGTGTTTAAATTAATACATTTTTAGCTAACTGTGATTTGTATATGTACATTTCTGAAATACTTAGAGTCACCTCTGATAACAGATCACTCTAAATTGTAATGTGGATTAATGCATTTCCTAAAGCTGCTTTGAAACGATGTGTATTGAGAAAAGCGCTATACAAATAAATGTAATTATTTGAATTACAACGCAATTGAATTGAATGTCCAGACGTCATTAACTGAGCTCTAGATGAAGGCTGTGTGTTCAGTGTGTGTACAACACACCCCTAATCAAGGGTCAGTAGAGTCACCTCAATAGAGTGCCGAAGTTACGACATCACTCTGTAGGCCAAAACGCGGAAGTGAGTTAGCATTTTAGCACCCCCGGTTCCCTCGCTCTAAACTCTATGGGATTTTTGAATGGTTTTTTTTCTAAATCGCCTGAAATAAGGTCTGTGGTCAACAAAGCCTCTAAATATTTTCACGTTTACACCACTGACATAGAACACACAGTTATAACTTGCTTGTGTTTTTTTTAAACTTTATTGTGTCTGCTTGTGTTTATTAAAAACTTTATATAGGCTTCAAAATGTATACATTTTGGATTAACTTGTAAAGATTATCTTGATAGACAAAACGTGTAAGGGTCCCAACTCTTTGTTAAACACAGATCTTATTTTTTGCGATTTTCCAAAAGTCTATGGGGAAAATGCATAGCTTTTCGATCGAGGGAACCCATGCGCCGCTAGCTTCCGAGTTGTCCTACAAAGTGACGTCATCACTTCGGCACTCTATAATCTTCTCACCATTGCATGGTTCAGCCAGATGGGAATGATCTCATCTAACATTTTGGGATACACCAGCTCTCGGTCGTACGTGTAGAGACTCCAGAACGAAGCAAACACAAACTGCAGGAAGATCAACACACTCAGTTCACATTAGTAGCTGACCAATTCAGGTTTTAAACAGTAACGACATATAATATAAGTGATACAAATGAGAGAACACAAGACGATTGAGATAAATTATAAAAAATAATGATAAAAAAAAAAATGCATTGAAGCAACAATTACTATTGTACGGTGCCCCCCTAGTCCGACTTTGTCAAAAAAAATTATTATAACTATCTCGTGGCCTCAAGATAGTAACTCTATCTTGAGGCCACGAGTTACTATCTTGAGGCCACGAGATAGTTATAATAAATTTTTGTTGACAAAGTGGGACTAGGGGGGCTCCGTACTATTGTTATTTTAAGAGCTCATATTGATGCTTATATTGAGACGGCATGAAATATTTGTAATATGCATGAAATACTGTTTTTTTTTTTTAAATACATTGAACTGGACTATTGGTAAAAAAAACTGCAATGGTGCCCACCCAGTCTAAGATACACTCTCCTGTACATTCGAATACATCTGAACCTAAAAACAACATCCATGTTTAGTGTCATCATTCACATACTATAGAGACACTTACGAGATTACACACACTGGGAAATAATATAAAACTTTCAAAATTCTTTTAAACACCCAGTTAATGTTTTTATCATTATATTTTAATATTATCAGTATGTATTTGGTCTTTCCAAAAACCCAGGGACATCATTTGCACATCTAGTCATGCTCGAATGTCTCTGCATTATTTTACATAATTGAATAAATGAGCCAAACATTTAAAATGTAATTTACTGAAAGGAATAGCCTGGATACTCTCTTCCACAGAGAGATACTCTCTACTCTCTGCTCTGATTATCATCAATGTTGAAAACAGTTCTGTACAATTTTTATTTCAGGATTATTTGATGAATAGAAAGAACAACATTTATCTCAAATAGAAAGCTTTTGTAACATTAAACACTACCGTTTAAAAGTTTGGGGTCAGTAAGAATATTTATTTAGAATATTAATCAACACTTTTATTCATCAAGGATGCATTAAGTTGATCAAAATTTACAGTAAAACATTTATAATGTTACAAAACATTCTATTTCAGAGAAATGCTGTTCTTTTGAACTTTCTATTCATCAAAAAACTGTTTTCAGCTGATAATATTAATGAATGTGTCTTGATCATCAGATCCTCATATTAGAGTGATTTCTGAAGGATCATGTGACTCTGGAGACTGGAGTAATGATGCTGAAACTCAGCTTTGACCACAGGAATAAATTACACTTTACTGTATATTCACTTAGAAAACAGATATTATGAATGGTCAATATTTAAAAATATTACTGTTTTTTTAAATAAAATAAATGCAGCTTTAGTGAGCAGAAATTACTTTTAAAAACATAAAAAATCTTCCCGATTTTTAAACTGTTGAACCCAGTATGTGTGTGTTAAACTGGGCCTGTACTGGTGTTAACGTGTGTGTGTTATACTGGGCCTGTACTGGTGTTAACGTGTGTGTGTGTGTGTGTTAAACTGGGCCTGTACTGGTGTTAACGTGTGTGTGTGTGACTGTGTGTGTGTGTGTGTGTGTGTGTGTTAAACTGGGCCTGTACTGGTGTTAACGTGTGTGTGTGTGTGTGTGACTGTGTGTGTGTGTGTGTGTGTGTGTGTGTGTGTTAAACTGGGCCTGTACTGGTGTTAACGTGTGTGTGTGTGTGTGTGTGTGTGTTAAACTGGGCCTGTACTGGTGTTAACGTATGTGTGTGTTAAACTGGGCCTGTACTGGTGTTAACGTATGTGTGTGTGTGTGTGACTGTGTGTGTGTGTGTGTGTGTGTTAAACTGGGCCTGTACTGGTGTTAACGTGTGTGTGTGTGTGTGTGTGTGTGTTAAACTGGGCCTGTACTGGTGTTAACGTGTGTGTGTGTGTGTGTGTGTGACTGTGTGTGTGTGTGTGTGTGTGTGTGTGTGTGTGTGTGTGTGTGTGTGTTAAACTGGGCCTGTACTGGTGTTAACGTGTGTGTGTGTGTGTGTGTGTTAAACTGGGCCTGTACTGGTGTTAACGTATGTGTGTGTTAAACTGGGCCTGTACTGGTGTTAACGTATGTGTGTGTGTGTGTGTTAAACTGGGCCTGTACTGGTGTTAACGTATGTGTGTGTGTTAAACTGGGCCTGTACTGGTGTTAACGTATGTGTGTGTGTGTGTGTGTGTGTGTGTGTTAAACTGGGCCTGTACTGGTGTTAACGTATGTGTGTGTTAAACTGGGCCTGTACTGGTGTTAACGTATGTGTGTGTGTGTGTGTGTGTGTGTTAAACTGGGCCTGTACTGGTGTTAACGTATGTGTGTGTGTGTGTTAAACTGGGCCTGTACTGGTGTTAACGTATGTGTGTGTGTGTTAAACTGGGCCTGTACTGGTGTTAACGTATGTGTGTGTGTGTTAAACTGGGCCTGTACTGGTGTTAACGTATGTGTGTGTGTGTGTGTGTGTGTGTGTGTGTGTGTTAAACTGGGCCTGTACTGGTGTTAACGTATGTGTGTGTGTGTTAAACTGGGCCTGTACTGGTGTTAACGTATGTGTGTGTGTGTTAAACTGGGCCTGTACTGGTGTTAACGTATGTGTGTGTTAAACTGGGCCTGTACTGGTGTTAACGTTTGTGTGTGTGTGTTAAACTGGGCCTGTACTGGTGTTAACGTGTGTGTGTGTGTTAAACTGGGCCTGTACTGGTGTTAACGTATGTGTGTGTGTGTTAAACTGGGCCTGTACTGGTGTTAACGTGTGTGTGTGTGTTAAACTGGGCCTGTACTGGTGTTAACGTGTGTGTGTGTGACTGTGTGTGTGTGTGTTAAACTGGGCCTGTACTGGTGTTAACGTGTGTGTGTGTTAAACTGGGCCTGTACTGGTGTTAACGTATGTGTGTGTTAAACTGGGCCTGTACTGGTGTTAACGTATGTGTGTGTGTGTTAAACTGGGCCTGTACTGGTGTTAACGTGTGTGTGTGTGTGTGTGTGTGTGTTAAACTGGGCCTGTACTGGTGTTAACGTATGTGTGTGTGTGTTAAACTGGGCCTGTACTGGTGTTAACGTGTGTGTGTGTGTGTGTGTGTGTGTGTGTGTTAAACTGGGCCTGTACTGGTGTTAACGTGTGTGTGTGTGACTGTGTGTGTGTGTGTTAAACTGGGCCTGTACTGGTGTTAACGTGTGTGTGTGTGTGTGTTAAACTGGGCCTGTACTGGTGTTAACGTATGTGTGTGTTAAACTGGGCCTGTACTGGTGTTAACGTATGTGTGTGTGTGTTAAACTGGGCCTGTACTGGTGTTAACGTATGTGTGTGTTTTAAACTGGGCCTGTACTGGTGTTAACGTATGTGTGTGTGTGTTAAACTGGGCCTGTACTGGTGTTAACGTATGTGTGTGTGTTAAACTGGGCCTGTACTGGTGTTAACGTATGTGTGTGTGTTAAACTGGGCCTGTACTGGTGTTAACGTATGTGTGTGTGTTAAACTGGGCCTGTACTGGTGTTAACGTGTGTGTGTGTGTGTTAAACTGGGCCTGTACTGGTGTTAACGTATGTGTGTGTTAAACTGGGCCTGTACTGGTGTTAACGTATGTGTGTGTGTGTTAAACTGGGCCTGTACTGGTGTTAACGTGTGTGTGTGTGTGTTAAACTGAGCCTGTACTGGTGTTAACGTATGTGTGTGTTAAACTGGGCCTGTACTGGTGTTAACGTATGTGTGTGTGTGTTAAACTGGGCCTGTACTGGTGTTAACGTATGTGTGTGTGTGTGTGTGTGTTAAACTGGGCCTGTACTGGTGTTAACGTGTGTGTGTGTGTGTTAAACTGGGCCTGTACTGGTGTTAACGTATGTGTGTGTGTGTGTTAAACTGGGCCTGTACTGGTGTTAACGTGTGTGTGTGTGTTAAACTGGGCCTGTACTGGTGTTAACGTGTGTGTGTGTGTTAAACTGGGCCTGTACTGGTGTTAACGTATGTGTGTGTGTGTTAAACTGGGCCTGTACTGGTGTTAACGTGTGTGTGTGTGTGTGTTAAACTGGGCCTGTACTGGTACTCACAGTGCCGACGGGGAAGGCCAGCGCAGTGAAGTAGAAGTCTCTGGCTTTACTGAGGCTCAGAGGAGTCCCGCTGCGAGTGTGTTTCACCGGCACCAGCATGTGCGTCACGTCCACCAACACACACCATCCAAAAAACACCGCCTGCAGCACCTGACACAAACACAACACACACACACACACGTGAGTCATGTGACATGAACACAGTAAAGGTAATTTAACGTTTGACATTCGGTTTGATACCGATTAAACTCTACGTATTTCATGTTTTCAGCACAAACCAGCTCAGATACACATATACAAACACCCTTTGCACGGCGCAAGGCTTAACTTCAAGAAATAAAATATATATTAATTAGGCTAGCACTATAAATCAATTACACAATTTAACATTGAATCAAACTAATAGTAACATGTTCAGAATAATATCCCTTTTATTGCAGAAGGCTTGTTTTTCAGATAATTAATCTGGTGTTTTTTATATACAGTACTGAGCCCATTTTAATCCATTAACACCATAATAAAAAATGCCAGACTAATAATCTGAAAAATGTACAGTTGGTTTACATCCATTACAATCCATTAAACTATAACACCGTTTGACCTACAGCCTGTAGGTCAAACGGTGTTGTAGTTTAATGGATTCACACAGTATTGCAGTATTTGAAAAGTTGCAAAACATGAAATGCCACTTCCAAAAACAATAAAAGTGACATTTGTCTGAACATTTTACTATAAGTTTGATGATATAATCATACAGCTAAATTGTTTAATCGATTTAAAGGTCTAATATATACATGTTTTTTTTTTTTTTTTAATTAAGCCATGCGCTATGCAAAGGGCGTTTGTGTTTTATTAAAGGTGACCTATAATTCAAAATTGAATTTACCTTGGTATAGTCAAATAACAAGAGTTCAGTGCATGGACATGACATAGAGTGAATCTCAAACTGGACTGTTTTCGCGTTCTCATTTAATTCACGTTTATGAAAAACACCCCTGAAAAACGGTCGGTTCTCCACACAATACCGACTGTGACGCAATAGTCGGGATCATTAATATGTACGCCTCCAAATATTTGCATAATGCCAGCCCTCAATGCCAGGCGGAACTGCGCAGCCGAAGCATGGCAGTGCTCAGTGTGGATGTACACATGAACACAAAAGTATCTTTTAGTTCCTTCATCTGAGCCTCTGAAGAAACAATGGGTTAATTTTATTTTCTCTGGAAATTTCCAAACATTTCACCGACTGTTTCCTCAACTTGGGCCAATACAGAGCTGGCCTCGGATCAAGCTACCAAGCAACACTTTCTGATGTGTAATTGTTCAAGTTCAGACAGGTAATCTTTCTCTCAAAATCGTTCAATACTGTTTATGCATCAGTAAGTCAAGCCAGTGACTAAAATATCAGCTTCACATCGTTTCTTTTAGTAGGATGAAAATAATCGTATTTAAATTGTGAACAAATTATATACAGAAAGCGATCAAAGAACAATCTTTCCACACAGCGCGAGTTTATCTGGACACTTGCCAAACTCGTTATGAAATCAATGACGCACGTTACTGCACAACGAAGCTCTTACTGTATTTACATCATCGTGTTTGCATTGGTGAAAGCAGAGAGAGTGCAGAAACTGCTTTGCAATGATAAGATCTTCATTCTCGCGATCAACACACTGTCATCTGCTCAATGCTCATCGAGGCAACATTTTATGTGATGGGAATAGATCTAAATACTTTAAAAACATCTCACGATTCAATAATCTCAATAGCTGTTATCGTAAAAACGTATAATAGCAGTAGTAAAAGTATTCGGTACGGGAGAGAGTTTCTATGGCAAGCCGTTTTAGCTTTAATTGTACCCAGCCTTACTCGTCGTAATTACATTTTTACTAGTAATAATTCAATTAGAGAGCTCTACAATTCAATTATTACTAGTAACAATTATAATTAGAGAGCTCTCTAATTCAGTTGTTACTAGTAAGAATGCAATTACAGAGCTCTCTAATTGAATTTTTACTAGTAAAAAAACGAATTAAAGATATGTATAATTGGAGAGCTCTGTAATTGAATTAGAGAGCTCTGCAATTGCATTCTTACTAGTAACAACTGAATTAGAGAGCTCTCTAATTATAATTGTTACTAGTAATAATTGGATTAGAGAGCTCTCTAATTGGAATTCTTACTAGTAATAATTCAATTAGAGAGCTCTACAATTGCATTCTTACTAGTAACAATTGAAATAGAGAGCTCTCTAATTGAATTAAAGAGCTCTGCAATTGAGTTGTTACTAGTAAGAATTGAATTAGAGAGCTCTCTAATTGAATTGTTACTAGTAAGAATGCAATTAGAGAGCTCTATAATTCAATTACAGAGCTCTTTAACTGTAATTGTTACTAGTAACAATTCAATTAGAGAGCTCTACAATTAAATTGTTACTGGTAAGAATTGAATTAGAGAGCTCTCTAATTGTAATTGTTACTAGTCATAATTGGATTAGAGAGCTCTCTAATGGAATTGTTACTAGTAACAATTGAATTAGAGAGCTCTCTAATGGTAATTCTTACTAGTAACAATTCAATTGTAGAGCTCTCTAATTGTAATTCTTACTAGTAACAATTCAATTAAAGAGCTCTGTAATTAAAAATGAATGGAAGTCAATGGAGACATATGACTAGTAAAAATTCATTTGTAGAGCTCTCTAATTGGAATTGTTACTAGTAAGAATTGAATTAGAGAGCTCTGCAATTGTAATTGTTACTAGTAATAGCTGAATTAGAGAGCTCTCTAATTGTATTTTCACTAGTAAGAATTGAATTAGAGAGCTCTCTAATTGTAATTGCTACTAGTAAGAATTGAATTGTAGAGCTCTCTAATTGAATTAAAGAGCTCTGCAATTGCATTCTTACTAGTAAGAACTGAATTAGAGAGCTCTCTAAATCAGTTTTTACTAGTAATAATTGCATTAAAGAGCTCTCCTAATGTAATTCTTACTAGTAAAAACTGATTTAGAGAGCTCTCTAATTTAATTCTTACTAGTAAGAATGCAATTGCAGAGCTCTTTAATTCAATTAAAGAGCTCTGCAATTACATTCTTACTAGTAAGAATCGAATTAGAGAGCTCTCTAATCGCAATTGTTACTAGTAAGAATTGAATTAGAGAGCTCTCTAATTGTAATTGCTACTAGTACGAATTGAATTGTAAAGTTCTCTAATTAAATTTTTACTAGTAAAAATGAAATTACAACAAGTAAGGCTGGGTACAATTTAAGCTAAAACGGCTTGCCATAGAGTTTCACATGTAATGCGTAGCTATTTCATATGCAAGCATGTCAGCCAATCACAGCAGTGGCCGCGGTTACACTGAATCCCACAGCAGACACGCCCCTTCAAACAGAGTGTTCCAATCAGAGGCTAAAAGCAGGCTAGGAAAAATGCCTTTTATTTCTAAATTATGATTATTTTTTATCTAAAAAACATACTAACATTATAAGGGTAACCCAGGAAACATTATAAAAAATAAACATTCTAGGGCACCTTTAATGTATATCTGAGTTGTTTGAGTTGAATGGCTTTGAACCCGAATGTCAAACGCTAGCCTGACGTCACCGGTGTGTCATAATAACGGACGGCGGAGGCAAAGGTGGAGTGAGTGTGAAGAACTGCTCCTACCAGATTAATGAAGGTCAGATACTTCCAGCGGCCTCCGTATGAACGCACGCCGGGGTGTCTGTCTGAGGTCTGCAGGGTGCAGTTACTCCAGATAGTGAATATATACCAGCTGAACACGAGCAGGTGCAGCAGCAGACACATCTTCAGCCCGGCGGCGGCCATGAGTCCTCTTCCTCTTCTTCGGATTGTAATGGCAGCTCGCGGCCTGAATGTTGCACTACTGCCACCTGGAGTTAGTTAGTTTGCAGTTACCGTCTATTCCGCTTCGTCCGACCGCTCCTCCTGCACTCCAGTCCAGTATGATCAATACTCCACAAACTGTTATTCCTCATTATTACTGTAATAGACTAATGTGTGTGTGTTTGCAGACACCGATGACGTGTATTGTGGGCGGAGTCCACCAGTTCTGCAGTGGCACTCTATGAAAGACGCGTAATAAAACAATAATAAGGTCATCTCGAGTGCATTTCTCACAATTTTGACTTTTATCTCGCATTTGAGTTTATATGTCAAGATTCTACGAAGAAATATCAGTCCAGCCACAGCTGTCATGTGTTTATCTGCACAGGGCGACAGCACTCATATGAAGACCATCTTTTATATTCTGACATGTAAAGGTACAGCAAGAGTTGTTTTCCTTGCTTTTAAGTTTTTTTGCATGTAAAACCAAAGAATATTGGATCGACTGAAAAGTTACAAATATGAACAAATTCAGTATAATTGTATAAAACACCACCCTTTCTGATCAACTGTTTAACCCAAATAACTCCTTTTTTAAAACCAGTTCTTAAAAAAATATTGATTAGTTTCTCACCTGTATGTCTCTATTATTCCTACATTTATGGGGGAAATTATGACTATACATTATGTTATGTCCATGAAAGTAATGTGTAATGACTATTTTGTTAATATCATAATCACATTTCAGTATGAACTCTATACCACCTACTTTTTGAAATATAAAGTTATAGCATGTACTTTAAAAATTTTAAATAATTTTTGAGCCATTTTATTTTGAATATCATGTTAGAGATCTTAAAATCCCAAACATTGAATCCTCCTTCGATTCTTGGCCCACAGATATGTTTTCCTCCACTTGTTACCGGTTTTTCTGCCACCACAATGCACACGCATCATCTTGTATTTTTAATAAAAGAATCCTTTGTATATTCATTTGTTTGTTGGACATCTATAATATTATTAATAATATTGAGTTTCCTGGTAATGTGTATAATTATTAAATATACTTTTTTTCCTTCAAGTTTTGTTGTTGCAATATATACCTTTCCATTTAAAAGCTCTCATAACAAATGCCAATGTATTATTTAATAATAATAAAAGTATTTTGACACATATTGTTCTGTCACTTAAGTTAACGACAAGTTGACAAATCCTGTGAATATTTACTTTTTTAATAAACTTTATTTGCATTAGTACAAGGTATACAACAAAACAAACACAAAGACATTTCTCTTTCAGGACCGATGGTTGATATTCCCATGCTTCTGCTTTATGCCACACCTCTCCTTGAGGATTGATCACACACGCACACACACACACACACACACACACACACCTGTCAGCCAGCAGGAACACACTCCGACTCCTTCAGTGTTTCACAGCCTGACCCACCGGATCATCAGGTGTTACTGCTGTCCTCAATCACAACCTTTGAATAAGTGTGAACGCTGCCATCTGAACCCTGATCAAGTGGACAGAGACGCTGAAAAGATGGGACTCGCTCCGCTTACAAACTCCGGTGCGGTTCGAATTAAATATGAACGCAACACGGACCAAAGACATGTAAACGAACCAAAAATTGGACATGATGTCACAGGATGCGACCCTAAAAAGGGCAGAATGCTCAAGCATACCTGTTTTTTGTTGCCCATCACAGTTCGGTACAGGATCAGAATAATTAGGGCAAAGGAGTGTGCGTGTTTGGAGTGCTGTAGGGCAGAGGGAGAAGAGTGAGCCAATCAGCAGTAGGGGGCGTTTACTCAGGAGAGAGAGTGAGCCAATCAGCAGTAGGGGGCGTGTTTACTCAGGAGAGAGAGCCAATCAGCAGTAGGGGGCGTGTTTACTCAGGAGAGAGAGCCAATCAGCAGTAGGGGGCGTGTTTACTCAGGAGAGAGAGCCAATCAGCAGTAGGGGGCATGTTTACTCAGGAGAGAGAGAGAGCCAATCAGCAGTAGGGGGCGTGTTTACTCAGGAGAGAGAGCCAATCAGCAGTAGGGGGCGTGTTTACTCAGGAGAAAGAGTGAGCCAATCAGCAGGAGGGGGCGTGTTTACTCAGGAGAAAGAGTGAGCCAAACAGCAGTAGGGGGCGTGTTTACTCAGGAGAGAGAGCCAATCAGCAGTAGGGGGCGTGTTTACTCAGGAGAGAGTGAGCCAATCAGCAGTAGGGGGCGTGTTTACTCAGGAGAGAGAGCCAATCAGCAGTAGGGGGCGTGTTTACTCAGGAGAGAGTGAGCCAATCAGCAGTAGGGGGCGTGTTTACTCAGGAGAGAGAGTGTGCCAATCAGCAGTAGGGGGCGTGTTTACTCAGGAGAAAGAGTGAGCCAATCAGCAGTAGGGGGCGTGTTTACTCAGGAGAGAGAGAGTGAGCCAATCAGCAGTAGGGGGCGTGTTTACTCAGGAGAGAGAGAGTGAGCCAATCAGCAGTAGGGGGCGTGTTTACTCAGGAGAGAGAGTGAGCCAATCAGCAGTAGGGGGTGTGCCCACTCAGGAGAGTGAGCCAATCAGCAGTAGGGGGCGTGTTTACTCAGGAGAGTGAGCCAATCACCAGTAGGGGGCGTGTCCACTCAGGAGAGAGTGAGCCAATCAGCAATAGGGGGCGTGTCCACTCAGGAGAGAGAGTGAGCCAATCACCAGTAGGGGGCGTGTCCACTCAGGAGAGAGAGTGAGCCAATCACCAGTAGGGGGCGTGTCCACTCAGGAGAGAGAGTGAGCCAATCACCAGTAGGGGGCGTGTTTACTCAGGAGAGAGAGTGAGCCAATCACCAGTAGGGGGCGTGTCCACTCAGAGCAAGAGGGAGATTTGAAGAAAAACTGTAGAAAGAGAGATGGCTGAGACATTACAAATAGGGATGTGCGCATCGTTGTTTAAACGGAAGTTTTGTAATCGACTAGTCTAAAAGTGAAAAACCCTCTGACTTGTGTATATGTGATCTATTTGAGCACTTAATCTATGAATCAAACCATAATAAATGCCGCACACTTGGCGAATAAAGCTCGTTCTGATTCTGAAGCTCAGTTATTTTTCCCAGATTGAAGTGAATCCGCGATGGGCATGTGCTTGCGTCGCTATCACACTCGCGCACATGTCCTGAACACGGTTATACTCTAGAGGAATCCTGGCAGTTTGAAATGGCACAGCTCACATAAAACTTCTACGTTTTATTTCTAATTCAAAATACTCGTTTAACTTGAGCACACACACACACACACACACACCTGTCAGCCAGCAGGAACACACTCCGACTCCTTCAGTGTTTCACAGCCTGACCCACCGGATCATCAGGTGTTACTGCTGTCCTCAATCACAACCTTTGAATAAGTGTGAACGCTGCCATCTGAACCCTGATCAAGTGGACAGAGACGCTGAAAAGATGGGACTCGCTCCGCTTACAAACTCCGGTGCGGTTCGAATTAAATATGAACGCAACACGGACCAAAGACATGTAAACGAACCAAAAATTGGACATGATGTCACAGGATGCGACCCTAAAAAGGGCAGAATGCTCAAGCATACCTGTTTTTTGTTGCCCATCACAGTTCGGTACAGGATCAGAATAATTAGGGCAAAGGAGTGTGCGTGTTTGGAGTGCTGTAGGGCAGAGGGAGAAGAGTGAGCCAATCAGCAGTAGGGGGCGTTTACTCAGGAGAGAGAGTGAGCCAATCAGCAGTAGGGGGCGTGTTTACTCAGGAGAGAGAGCCAATCAGCAGTAGGGGGCGTGTTTACTCAGGAGAGAGAGCCAATCAGCAGTAGGGGGCGTGTTTACTCAGGAGAGAGAGCCAATCAGCAGTAGGGGGCATGTTTACTCAGGAGAGAGAGAGAGCCAATCAGCAGTAGGGGGCGTGTTTACTCAGGAGAGAGAGCCAATCAGCAGTAGGGGGCGTGTTTACTCAGGAGAAAGAGTGAGCCAATCAGCAGGAGGGGGCGTGTTTACTCAGGAGAAAGAGTGAGCCAAACAGCAGTAGGGGGCGTGTTTACTCAGGAGAGAGAGCCAATCAGCAGTAGGGGGCGTGTTTACTCAGGAGAGAGTGAGCCAATCAGCAGTAGGGGGCGTGTTTACTCAGGAGAGAGAGCCAATCAGCAGTAGGGGGCGTGTTTACTCAGGAGAGAGAGTGAGCCAATCAGCAGTAGGGGGTGTGCCCACTCAGGAGAGTGAGCCAATCAGCAGTAGGGGGCGTGTTTACTCAGGAGAGTGAGCCAATCACCAGTAGGGGGCGTGTCCACTCAGGAGAGAGTGAGCCAATCAGCAATAGGGGGCGTGTCCACTCAGGAGAGAGAGTGAGCCAATCACCAGTAGGGGGCGTGTCCACTCAGGAGAGAGAGTGAGCCAATCACCAGTAGGGGGCGTGTCCACTCAGGAGAGAGTGGCCATTCTGTGCTCTCTGTGACTGACACGAAGAAAACGCATCTGAGGTCAAATTAAAATAAATAAATAAAATGATCAGACCCTACCTCTCGAGGTATTGTTTTTACAAGTGTTTTATTTAAAATGCTTTTAAATATAAACGTAACGAAGGTGGAACCAGTAAACGGTTAATCATTTATTTATTTAAAATGAATAAAACGAAAGTAAACAGCAGGTGCTTCATAGCCGACTGCCGCACACACAGCAACCTAAATGTGGACTGTTGTTTTCAGTGTCGACCAGTAGCAGCTGTACCGTTTAGTCGACTAGTCCTGCACATCCCTAATTACAAAAGAGGAAAGCTCAGAGGAATATCACTGGAGGAAGAAGGTCATGATCAGGCAAGTGCTTTAGGACCTGCGGTAATATTAGAGAAGCTTTCCAGCGTTGGAGACGTTAGAGAGCGGGAAGGCCTGAAAGCAGACGCCGAGGCGGCGCTTGTGCTCCACACGCGAGTAACAGCGGTTTCACAGAACCACAGATATGCTGTTGTTGTAATGTTAGCTATTGTAACGGGACAGTTTGAGTGTTTGTTTTTCTGGAGCTGCTGGTGACAAAACAATCAAATCCTGCTTGTAAACACTTGTATACTGTTAATTTTTTTTTCCTTGTCGTTCGCATTATTTTGCTTCAGCTATGATAAAAGACACATCCACTCTTGCATTGCGTGCTCGTGCATTTTGGGGCCGGAGCAATAAAGGGAGGGGTGTGTGTTTGTTTGGCTTGATTTCAAACATCAGTGTTTCTCAGAAATCGCTTACTGCGACTTTAACCAAATGTTCACACTTATTTCCGCACAGTGAGTGTCTTTAAGACAAAACAGAATCATAAAGAGGTACATTTTGTGAACAATTTGACAACCAATGTAGTTCTAGATGTCAAAAGTTTCAAGATTATTCAAGTTTCAGGTTTATTGTCAGTGGCATGCTCATGAAAAGTCACTCAATTAAAAAAGATCCACTGAAAAAAAAAAAAAAAAAAGAGGTACATTTCATATCCGCATATGTCCCCGCTCCTCAAGGCAGAGAGCGGAGTGTGTCCCCCGCCGCGGTCGTGCTCTTCCTCAGGTGCTCCCGGTACAGCAGGAGCCGCTCGGCCGTGTGCTGCGGGAGCTTGCTCCTGCGGGCCCGCACAATACAGCACGCCAGAGGGAACAGCCTCTTAAACCCCCCCGAGGATGCTGGGACGGCCAACCATTTGCGGCAGATGCTCCGCAGGCGAGGGAAGCGGGTCGCTTCTTTCCAGAAGCTTTGAACGGACACGTCTTCCTCAGACAAGAGCTCTGACAGATACTGAGTCAGCTCAGACACGTCAACACGCTCTGGCTTATCACGCCCGGTCTCTCTAGCGGCTTCACTCAGCGCGGACTCCACAACTAAAGACGCCCGGTGTTTGGAAGGGGTGAACAGTGTGCTAGTCTTGAATTTCTCTTTTCCGTTGTCAAAGGGTTGAAGCTTGATTCGTGGGTCCAGAACTGTGGCTAGTATCAAATCTCTCCGCAAAATAAGAGGTTGGAAGTAAGAGCGGAGAGCAGAACGCAGGGATGAGCAGAAAAAGCTGAACTTTGTGGTCTTGCTCTCAAGTGTTTTATCAAGTCCAATGATGGTAGGAATGACGAGGGACAAGGTGACGCCGTCTTCCTGAAGCACTTGGACCACCTCTTCAAAAGGCTCCATTAAACCAACGAACTCCACGACCTGTTCACGTGTAACATGGACCACAGGTGGACACACGTGGCAGCTGTTCGCCTCTGCGTGGGCTTGATCCACGAGGCTCATCACCGAGTCCCACGCCGATTCCTGCATTATCTCTCGGATGATGCTGATTGTGGAGTTCCAGGTGTAGCCGCTTGTGCCGAACGTGCCAGACAGCGAGAGCTTGCATTTCTTAGCCAGAAGCTCAAGCCAGTAGGCGTTGCGGCGGAAGAAAGACACCACGCTTTGCACCTCAAACAGTATCCGCTCCACAACTCTGGACTTCTTTATCGCCTCCTTGATCACGCAATGCAGGAGGGAGGTGATGCAGTCCAGGTGTTTGCTGGAGGATATCTCCGCTATAGAGAAATCATCTATGGTGACCTGATCATCCAGAAAACTCAATAACTCCTCTTCATCGGGGTCGCTCTTCTGCGCAGAACACATGATCTTGTAGTCGCAGAACAGATCATGAGTGGCGATAGTGTTCTTGGCCTCATGGATGATGCTGTACCCGATGTTATGCGGGAAAAGCCCATAGCTTAGAAGAACCGACTCGATTTCTGCTCCGATCTGTGCTGTGAACTGATTACACTGCAAATGGCGAAAAGCCACAGTTCTGCAGTGAACGCTCCAGTCGGCATCAAGAAAATGCATCTGAACGGCGAGAAGAGGTTCTGTGTGTTCACTAGCCCAGATATCAGCGGTGATGTGCACCACATTACGGCCCCCGCTCAGCGACACACAGTTCCTGAGCTGCTGGATCAGCCGTGGCTTGATGGTTTTCTCCACAGCGCTGTACAGTTGTGAAGCGATCGTGCGCTGCGAGAGCTGTGGGTGTTGAGGACCCACTGCAGTCATGAACTTACGAAACCCACACCCTTCAGTGAAGTTTAGCGGGAGCATGTCCTCGGAAATCATCTGCAAAACATCATCTACAAACGCTTTGTGCTGCGGGTCCACGATGGACGGACTCCTGGAGAAGGAGGGTGAGGACGGATAGAGCGGGGGACAGCTGGCCTTCGGGGTTCTGTCCGAAGCCTTCCTCTTCAGCGGCTTCCCCCTGGGCAACGGCTCCGCTGCACTTACTGACTGTGGAGTAAAATCAAACATTAAAATCACAAGTGCAGGCAAACACATTTACTTCTAATTTATCCCAGTTACAATAACCGCTTTTCCACCGTCTGGCCAAACCGTTCTTTGCTTAACCGTTCCCTTCCATATCGACTAGTCCAGTCGGTACGGATGAATAAAACGAATGTAATATAACGGAGCTCTTTGGCATCGTAAATCGTGCAACGTTTTTTCATATTTTTTTTATACTATGTATGTATATTTATAACACAATACTTAGTATTATATTACCTTTGCATCAAAATTACAAAAAAACGAGCTAACGCTGTTGTGAGGGAGTTTCTAATACAGTGGCAGAGAGAGTGACGGGAAGGTGGACATCTTTCTCTCTTCTGACTGCTGTTATCAATCGCTCTCTATTTTTTTCCTCTTTTTGAAAGTGAAAGAGAAAACACTATTGTGGAGTTTTTCTTTTGCTATTTGAGCAAATGGTAACACAAAAAATATATTTAATGTATTCTCTCATTCATCGTTATGGGATTTTACCCAACTTTGAAGACTTTCGCTTCTGAGAAGCCCGCAAATGTGAAAAGGGTCTAACTAAACCTTGATTTTCACCACAGGGGGACTTTAATAAAGTATAGGCAGTATTCATATTTATTTCTGATTTATTAAAATAATTATAAACTATATACATATTATATATCGGCTTTACACTCACTTAAAGGATTATTAGGAACACCTGTTCAATTTCTCATTAATGCAATTATCTAATCAACCAATCACATGGCAGTTGCTTCAATGCATTTAGGGGTGTGGTCCTGGTCAAGACAATCTCCTGAACTCCAAACTGAATGTCAGAATGGGAAAGAAAGGTGATTTAAGCAATTTTGAGCGTGGCATGGTTGTTGGTGCCAGACGGGCCGGTCTGAGTATTTCACAATCTGCTCAGTTACTGGGATTTTCACGCACAACCATTTCTAGGGTTTACAAAGAATGGTGTGAAAAGGGAAAAACATCCAGTATGCGGCAGTCCTGTGGGCGAAAATGCCTTGTTGATGCTAGAGGTCAGAGGAGAATGGGCCGACTGATTCAAGCTGATAGAAGAGCAACTTTGACTGAAATAACCACTCGTTACAACCGAGGTATGCAGCAAAGCATTTGTGAAGCCACAACACGCACAACCTTGAGGCGGATGGGCAACAACAGCAGAAGACTCCACCGGGTACCACTCATCTCCACTACAAATAGGAAAAAGAGGCTACAATTTGCAAGAGCTCACCAAAATTGGACAGTTGAAGACTGGAAAAATGTTGCCTGGTCTGATGAGTCTCGATTTCTGTTGAGACATTCAGATGGTAGAGTCAGAATTTGGCGTAAACAGAATGAGAACATGGATCCATCATGCCTTGTTACCACTGTGCAGGCTGGTGGTGGTGGTGTAATGGTGTGGGGGATGTTTTCTTGGCACACTTTAGGCCCCTTAGTGCCAACTGGGCATCGTTTAAATGCCACAGCCTACCTGAGCATTGTTTCTGACCATGTCCATCCCTTTATGGCCACCATGTACCCATCCTCTGATGGCTACTTCCAGCAGGATAATGCACCATGTCACAAAGCTCGAATCATTTCAAATTGGTTTCTTGAACATGACAATGAGTTCACTGTACTAAAATGGCCCCCACAGTCACCAGATCTCAACCCAATAGAGCATCTTTGGGATGTGGTGGAACGGGAGCTTCGTGCCCTAGATGTGCATCCCACAAATCTCCATCAACTGCAAGATGCTGTCCTATCAATATGGGCCAACATTTCTAAAGAATGCTTTCAGCACCTTGTTGAATCAATGCCACGTAGAATTAAGGCAGTTCTGAAGGCGAAAGGGGGTCAAACACAGTATTAGTATGGTGTTCCTAATAATCCTTTAGGTGAGTGTATATCGCCCACCCTGCTCTCAAAGACATTGACATTCAAAAAACAAGCAAAATCTTGCATGTGTGATGATGAAACAGACACCCGGCATCTCATCCGTAATACCTTTAATGCTTTCCTTTAACTGCATAGCATCAAAAACACTTAGAAAATAAACAAAGCTGTGTATGGTTATGGTTCTACAGAGCTACATAGAATATATGTGGCAACTTCCTAGTTTTAACATTTGTCAATTTTTCCTTGTACCGTCGATAATCAGACTGCTGAAATCAACATCGGTCACTCGTGAAATATCATTGATATATACAATACTATCATCAGATCTTCTAGCCCTACTGACCACAGTTGTTCAGTCTGACTGAACTAACAGAAGTGAAGAATTCTGCCAGATCTAGTGCTAATTAGTAATGATCTATCTCAGCTGCTCAGTGAACCCAAACTAACAGATGAACTAGAGGAAATGACTAGCAGTTTGAGCACCATTTTCACTAGTACATTAGATATTGTTGCACCAATTAGATTAAAAAAGGTTAAAGAGAAAACTAAAGCACCATGGTACAACAGTGTTACGCATGATATCAAGAGAGAAACTCGTAACCTAGAGCGTAAATGGAAACAAACTAATTTAGAGGTCTTTAGAATCGCGTGGAAAGACAGTATGTCACGTTATAAAAAGGCTCTAAAAGCAGCCAGGGCTGAGCACCTCCGCAAACTAATAGAAAATAACCAAAATAATCCAAGGTTCTTATTTAACACCGTGGCTAGACTAACAAATAAACAGACATCACCAGAGCAAAATATACCGTTACAGTTTAGTAGTAATGATTTTATGAATTATTTCAATGAGAAAATAGAAAGCATTCGAAACACAATTATAAATGTACAATCCTCTATGGTGTCTTGTGATTCAGCCTCAATTATCGTCCCTCAAGAACAACTACACCGCTTTGCAACGATAGGACAGGAAGAGCTAAATAAACTTATTATTGCATCTAAACCAACAACATGCTCATTAGATCCAATACCCACTAAACTACTGAAAGAAGTGTTACCTGTAGTGGAAGAGCCTCTTCTTAATATTATTAACTCGTCTTTATTCTTAGGTCATGTTCCAAGAATATTCAAGTTGGCAGAAATAAAACCTCTCATTAAGAAACCGCAACTAGATCCAAATAACCTAGCAAATTACAGACCCATTTCAAATCTTCCATTTATGTCCAAAATACTAGAAAAAGTTGTATCCGCTCAACTGTGCTCTTTTTTGCAAGAAAATGATATCTATGAAAAATTCCAGTCAGGATTCAGACCGCATCATAGTACAGAAACTGCGCTAGTTAAAATTACAAATGATCTACTCTTAGCTTCTGACCAAGGCTGTATCTCAATACTAGTCCTACTTGATCTTAGCGCCGCGTTCGACACTATAGATCATAAAATACTCTTGGATCGACTACAAAACTACACTGGTGTTCAGGGACAGGCATTAAGCTGGTTTAGATCGTACTTATCTGACCGTTATCATTTTGTCTCTTTACACGGGGGAAAATCAAAGTTAACGTCAGTAGACTACGGAGTACCGCAAGGATCGGTGCTAGGCCCTCTGCTATTCTCAATATATATGCTGCCACTTGGTAATATTATAAGAAAACATGGAATTAATTTCCACTGCTATGCTGATGACACTCAATTATATATTTCATCACGACCAGATGAAAACATTACCTCATCTAAATTGACAGAATGTCTCAAAGATATAAAATGCTGGATGACGCGTAATTTCCTGCTATTAAATTCAGATAAAACGGAGGTATTACTTATTGGTCCAAAAAACTACACACAAAATCTCTTACAATACGACTTTAATATAGAAGGATGCCCTGTTACTTTTTCCACTACAGTAAAAGACCTGGGTGTTATACTAGACCGCAACTTGTCTTTCGAAAATCATATTTCATCTGTTACAAGAACAGCCTTTTTCCACCTTAGAAACATTGCTAAATTACGTAACATGCTATCTGTTTCTGATGCAGAAAAGTTAGTTCATGCATTCATGACCTCGAGACTAGATTACTGTAATGCTTTATTAGCTGGTTGTCCTGCATCCTCAATAAACAAGCTACAGTTAGTGCAAAATGCAGCCGCTAGAGTTCTTACTAGATCAAGAAAATATGATCATATAACACCGATTTTATCATCTCTGCACTGGTTACCTATTAAGTTCCGTATCAATTACAAAGTACTACTACTGACCTATAAAGCCCTTAATGGTTTAGCTCCTATGTACTTAACGGACCTTCTTTCGCCCTACAATCCACCGCGTTCTCTAAGATCACTAAATTCAAGGCTTCTGGTCATTCCTAGGATATCGAAGTCCACGAAAGGAGGGAGGGCATTCTCGCATTTAGCTCCAAAACTCTGGAATAGCCTTCCCGATACGGTCCGATGCTCTGACTCGCTGACACAGTTTAAAACTAGACTAAAGACGTGTCTCTTTAGTCAAGCATTCACATAATGCTTACCTTTTAGTCCTCTGCTATGCCATACGGAACCGTTTGCCACTGAAACTGCTTAACGCACCAGTGGGGCTCGACAGCCTTATAGACAAACGGGTCGGTCCGTATGGTTGCGGTTGGGTTGCGGAGAGTTTGGGTTACGGAGAGTTGTGAGACTATGGTTTTCTAACACCTACTCCCGTGTAATGGAAATCATTATGAACATCAGCTATGCTAATTATTTCCCATCTGCCTTTCTGCTGTTATCTCGGGACGCTTGTCCCGAGAAAAATGGCGTTCGTAGGCTCCAGTTTGGTATCCTGCCTCTCACGGGGATTTCGGATGCCTCAACGCCTGTGATGAGAAGACCAACGCCTGTGAAGAGACGACTCAACGCCTGCGAAGAGACGACTCAACGCCGGCGATATGTTATCCCCTAAATATTACATGATTAACTAAATGTATTTATTCCAGGTACTCTCTACTATGGACTTACTCTAAAGCTTCTTTAAAACCCTATGATTGTTAGCCAGAGGAGAACTGGCCCCTGACTAGCCTGGGTTCTCCCAAGGTTTTTTTCTCCATCCAATCTGATGGAGTTTTGGTTCCTTGCCACTGTCGCCTTGCTTTTGGCTTGCTTAGTTGGGGATATTTAATATTCAACAATATTATTGAACTGTGTTGTACTACTTTCATGTTATCACTGTGAAGCTGCTTTGATGCAATCTGTATTGTGAAAAGCGCTATATAAATAAATGTGACTTGACTTGACTTAGTAATGGGCGATAGAAACGATATGCAATATAAACGTTACAAAATTGACCTACGATAGAGATTTTAATTCTATTGCGATAATGCATGTTGACGCAATCTACCCGCAAAATTTAGAGCCACGAACTGCAACCGGCTGCAACGCATCATCGTATTCGTCATCTTGAGTAAACATGGCTGAAAGCGAGGAGGAGCTGGTGAAAAAGACCGGTGCAGTATCCATTATTTGGACTTGGTTCGGATTTAAGCCGTCTGACGAGCAGCAGCAAACTATACTCTGTAGGGGCAACAGTTCTGGCTAACGCCTTTTTCACACATACTCCTTTTTTTCCGTACCCATGTTAACAGGCCTGCACGCGGATGCGGTGCTGCGATGCGTTCCAGGAGCGGTGCAGCAGTGCAGCGATCGTTTCCGCACAGAGTCTATTTCTGCTGTGCTGCACGCGCTGAATTAAAGTGACAGCGCATGGTTCATGGTCGAAATGAACACGGATTGATATGAAAATATAGTTGTCTCTCCTTAAATGCATTTAATTGAATTATACTACTATTTTTCACAGTCGTTTTCTTTTTAACTTTAAGCTCGGGGTAATAAAAGCAAGGAAAACTACACAGTAATGTTACCTCAACAACGCGACATAACAGGTGCACTTGTCTCTTCGTGGAGGTGGAAAAACAAGTTCTTTGTGAGCGCAATATTTCTTGTAAAAAAGATTTAAATACAAAAGAAAAGGTATGAGAGAGCTGTTTTTGTCAATTGTGTATGTTTTAATGTAATGTTTGCGATGTTAACATAAATGCATAAATGTTTTACCACTTGCTTGAGCAACTTAATATATAAATCATGGTCTATCTAACATGTTCTGAAATGGTTCTATTATAATTTATATATCGTTATATATCGTTATCGCAAGAGGCTGCAAAGTATATCGCAATATGGATTTTAGGCCATATCGCCCATCCCTAGTGCTAATCAAACTGGATATTAGCACGACAGCACAGGGTAAAGGATATAGAGTACCTTTTCATGACTGGTGGAAGCAGAGGTTTCCTTTAGCGTCAGGTAGATTCCCAGATCACTCAGATCCACATCCTCCATCTTATAGGTCCCCTTGTCCATTTTACGCTTTAGGGTTGAATACCAATGGTTCTTTATGGAGTTATCAGTCCTGTCAAACATCACCACATGTAACCAGTAGGAAACTGAGCACAATGCCTCACATTATAACAGTCAGTACAAATAAAGATAAAATAGAGGACAATACTATAAGACTATTTAACATTAGGGTTGTAACGGTATGACGATATATCACGGTTCTTAATTTTTATAAATTTTTAATGACAAAAATAAGTTGTTAGTCTAATCCATAATCAATTATTTAATTTAATTGATAAGGCATGTTTTTGATTATTGAAATTTGAATAAACAAAACAAACAAATGGTTTCAAGTTTGTTATAATAAAGCATTTGTTTAACAAAAAACATTTGTTTAACATGTTTTCATTCAACAGTCATTTTAACTGATGATAATAATCAGAACTGATTGTTTAATACCGTGAAACCGTGATATTTTCAGAGACCGTTATCATATCGTGAAAATCTCGTTCCGTTACAACCCTATTTTACAATAACTATAACAACACATATATTTAACAATACAAACAAGACTATTTAAATAAAATAGATAAATAAAAAGAGCTCTAAATTACCTTCCAGGGAGAAACTTTGCAATCTGTGCCCAGCGAGACCCCAGAACACAATGGCACTTGACGATCAGCAGGTCCTCGTCTGTTGTCCAGGGCGTCTTGATCACAGACGGGTCCAGGTGGTTATGCCACCGCTCTCTGCACTGTTTGCCCCGCCGCCCTTTCAGGTGCTTGGCAATTGTGCTCCACTTCTTGTCCCCGAACAAAGACACCAGCTGAATGAGCTACAGAAAGAAGACAACCGTTAGACAGCTTTGACAAGATGATCCGTACTTCTAAGAAAAGAATGAGGATAACCATGAATGCTCCATGCATGTTGTGCAATGGTGTCTGATAAACACAGAAGCAAACTGTGCCACTCAATCAATGCCATGACATTTTAATACAGGGCAAGTGACACAAACCCGAGGCCTTTTGTCCAGCTCGGATATCTCCCAAACAATGCTCACCCTTTCATCTTCTTCTTTGGTCCAGGCTCCTTTAATGAGCTCTGGGTCTAAGACCACCGTGAATCTGTTTTTACACTCCTGTGCAGAGCGCCCCTGCAATAACACACAATTCCAGAGTTACAACAATTTATCAAATATGTACAATCAGAAATATCCACGTAAACATTTGAATATTTATGAATTAACACTTTAAATTAGACCACTTGCCGGTAGGTAGCCTGCAATCAGCTCCCACTCCTCCCGTCCAAACCTCACCACGAGGGACGCAAGGCTTTCGTCCTAAATGTTAGCCATAAAATACAAACACTAAGATTTGTAGCACACTATAAGCAATATAACGATAGCATCAGAAGGTGGTGGAAAAAAACGAGGCAGTGTTGGGAGTTACGCATTACAAGTAACACTTTACGTTACGTGATCACAGTACCTTTCCCAAGTAACTAGTTACTTTTTCAAATAAGTATTTCGTGTTTCCCTTTATTGACATGTTGAGATAAATCGTGAGTGACGAGGCGTTGTGTGCGCTGTGCGTGAACATGATCAGATGCTTACTGTAAATCTAAGTAACTGTAGACTAAATGTGAGAATGCATTTACTCATCCCACAATCACAAAAACAGATTTAGTATTCCTCAAATAAAATAAAAAAGTGAAATGCAAACTCAAAATATTACACAAACCTGCAATAATTAAATGTTAAATTACACAAATATACTTTATGTATTTAATCTCACTTTATTAACCAATGCTGACTGACCTTTGATGATCCAATTTAACAATACTGATTTGTAAAAATGACTTTAAACATCATATTTGTGTTTCGTTTTTGTTTTTAATCACTGAAGTAATAATGTTGAGCCTTCTTCTCCTGCGTCCTACTCTTCTGTGGTCCAGAATGGCAGCACGATTAATTAAATCAAGTAAGTGACGTATTATCTTATTAATGATTTAAATGCACCTCAGTGCTTCAGCTCACCTCTTTTGAAGTCCACTTGCCCTTCAGTCGTTCGATATCTTCATCAATATCAGACTCCAGATCAACCACACACTTAGGGTTAAGGCTTACCACAGCTTCCATTACTCTGCAAACACAGAAAGGAGATCAGCACACCAGGGCTGGGTGATAAAACCGCATCGGTACTGATCAACGGTACACCATAATGATAAAAAAAATGTTCGATATAACGCTCAATATTTTCATTCAGATGCGCGGCGCGACCGCCACAACGTTGCCCAACATCAAATGGCAAGCATGATGAAAGCGGAACGAAACTGCGCTATTATTTTGTGCTTTACGGACCGTTTATCAGTTTGGACCATCAATGTCAGCGAGCCGATGTTTATCAAGCGACACTCTTACTACACAGCGCTGAGAGATCCAGTGAAGGAAGAATTTGAGTTCGCCACAGAAGTAATCACATCGCTGCGAGATCTAGCGAGAAGCATTCACATTTCTCCGTTATTAACGGATCAAACAGCGCTGACGTGCAAACCAGGAGAAACATCGTGCCGACGGTGCCGTGAATGAACTAGTTATAGGCTTTAAGTCCACAGATCAGCAACATTCACCGTGGGTTTACTGTAGTAACACTCACTGTAGCCATGGAAGTGCCAGGAACAGTAAAATGCTTTCAAGTACGTCACACATCTTTTCCCAGCACTTCAAAACTCAAATATTATAATACTTAAATGGTATTTTTAATGTGATGACCAAAACATTATTTGTTCATCCTTTAAAAATTATCCCCATTTATAAAACAAAGTTTCAAGATGTAGGAAAACTCACACTTATTTAAGAATAATTTTTCTTTTAATAAATTTTTTTTTTTAAAGCAAATAAATTTCTTTGGCATTTCTTTATTTTTGCTGTATGGAAAACGTTCCCAGCCGTGACGCCACTGTGTCGTATCGAACCGTGAATGTTGTGAGCCGTTACACCTCTGCTTATTACAGATGTTGCTCTGCCTCAAAGCTCGCCTCGATTGGTCAACGGCTACGCTTACACTTTTACACTGCACACATTTTGTAACATTTTATTTAAGTTTAAGGCCGACTCCATGAGCGTCGAGCAAAGCGTCAGTAAGCTGCCAGTCTGATTTGACTGGTTTAATTGGGATAACCGTCCCCAAAACATCAATCATAATAAAGAACATAATCATATCAACAGTTGCATAATAAATGAGCTAGAAAGGGAGGAACACAAAAACTGCCAAAAAATCAATGGTTTCTGAAACTTGGCAAAGGCAGACTGCCAGACAACTAGCCAGCCACTGGCAGGTCACATGACATCATGCCAGTGGCGGCTCCTGCCAGCCAGCTGGAGAATGAACCCCCACTCATATTTTTTCCTCTTTTGAAAAGTTGTGGAAACTATCACATATTTTGTCTTTTGGTATAAGAGCAAATGCAAACAATAAAATTATATTTGCTGTCATCTCCCAATCACTGCTATAGACGTTTACCCAACTATGACGACTTCCTCCGCTACGGGAACCCCAGACATGTAAAAAGGGTCCACACACAAACTGCCCCAATGAGAAGCTGGAGCAGAAAACTGAGAGATAAGGATGACAGTAGAGATGTTCCGATACCCTTTTTCCCTTCCTGATACCGATTCCGATACCTGGACTCAGGGTATTGGCCGATACCGAGTACTGATCCGATACCTGGGTCTGTACAGTATCTATACAGCTGCAATTCATACTAGCACTGTATGAATTGATAGAATTATTTTATGGTATGCTTCAGACTTATCCCTTAATTAAACATGAACAAATACATACAGTGAACTACCGTAATTCCTCAAATAAAGACCGGGGCCTTTATTTACCTGAACTGCAGATGGTAGCCGGCTTTTATTTGAAGCAGGCTTTTATTAGAGGCAGGCCTTTATTTCTAATTCGCGATCCCCGCCCGCCCGCCAGCCAAGTTTCCATGGTGACGCGTCATGCTTGGCACGTGTTCACCACAGCCAAAATAGCGCTGTATGACAGATGTAGCGCTTTTATTTCTAAATATTAACAAACTTGCTTACCATGTCATCAACTATCTTCTATTCTGACTCTCAAATCCGTGTAAGCGAGTTTGTTTTGTCGTTTAAAACCCTTTATAAATTATCTTGATCTGTAACGTGAGATGGGCACCGCAGTTCAGAGATTCCGGTCTGTTGGATTTGTTAAGTTACAGCGCGTGAATTCTTCAGTTTCTCCCGAAATACATGAAAGTAAGTGGCCGGTGAACTGGGAGAAGAATAGAGTAAACTTTATAGTTACTTACACTGTGTATCTGATATGAATAAAACACGTCGCCAAATATATTTGAATGGATTGTTATTGCTGCTTCCATAGACACCATTGTGTATTTTACAAACTATAAATTTATTGTTTTGCTATAAATCATATCTATTTAAATGTCTGAAAACTAAAATAAACATGTGGTTAAAAACACTGAATAGTTGTGATATGACAACCGCTGAGCGAGTCCGTCTTTGAGTGTACACTAATTTTTCCCCGGCCTTAATTTGAGACCGGCCTTTATTTGTCCGCGTTGACCACGCCCCCGGCCACTATCAGAGGCCCGGCGTTTATTTGAATACCGGTCTTTATTTGAGGAATTACGGTAGATTATTTTTATTATCTGACATACATTTCACAGCAATATATTATTTATCTTTCTTAAGTGAAAAAGAACTTAAAATGCAACCACACATCTAATACTGTAAACTGAAAAAGGTATTTTAGTTTTACAATATAACTGCATAAAAAAGTGCAACGAATCTAAAAAATTATATATGAATAATATAAGAAAATAATCTCTTTATAATTTAAAGTCCATAAACAATTTTGTTAAATAAACGGCATTTCAGTTTTGACCGCGGCTGGTCATCCAGAACAATAAACTCGATACATGTTGTCGGTTATATTTATCGCTCGTTGGCTGTCTTTTGAAAACTTTTCTCTTTGTTTGAATGAAGCTTGATTCAGAGATTGTTGATTCTGGCGCGGCTCATTATTCTCTGCCCTTGCCTTTGTGTAATCGTGTTCTGCGGGGTGATGCGTCTTCGAATGCTTTAAGTTACTCGTGTTGAAGTTGCTAATACTTGTTCCACCCCTCGAAATTGCAGTATGGCATACGAGACATGTCACCGTTTTACTGGCTGGTTGGTCCAGTCTGAAATACTGCTAAACAACTTCCTGTGTCGCCACAAGCAACCACTGTTTAGAGCAGCGAAGAAGAATTGATCTCCGATTTGCAGCGTTATGCAAAGCTAGCGTGCATAACTAGTTATTGTTTAAGAAAATGGTATCGGATCGGTACGCGGATAGAAGTACTCGCCGATACCAGCATTTTTATTGGTATCGGCGGCATTTCCGATACTAGTATCAACTCTAGATGACAGGAGGAATTGTGTTGTAAAGGAACAGAAAGATACAATTAAGTCAACAGAGGTAGAAAGTTAAACAAAGAGAACATGCAACATACCTTACATAAACAGCTGCGCTTCTGAAGAATGACTCAAATGAACCGCCAGACTAGTCTACTGGACCTAAACATTTGGAAAGAATCACTTTAGTACAATAAATAAAACTTTCCATCACTTATTTAACACCAGATAACACAACAATAAACTCACACAGAAACATGCGCTTTGAGACGCATGACAAATGCAAACAAAATGTTTGGTGCAAAAAATGTTTTGTCTGAAGTAAAAAATAAAAATGAATATCTATTTTGTAGACTGACCAAATTCTGCAAGTTGGCTCTGACTTTGGGCAACTAGAAGACAGATTTTTACCCTGGACTGTGAATCTGGGCATTGTGGCGTTATTCCAGCCTCAACTCATTTACCAGAACCGTGTGGATTTATCATACTGTCCATCGTACCATTTATCAGCCATTACACGAAAATAATGATCAGCTTACGAGTTACGAATATAGGAACATTTTTCAATATCACTGCATCCAAGAGCACCAATACACTATCCTTTATTCTAGATACAATTCATTTTGGTAGAATTAACAATAATAGTAGAAAGTATGATGATGATCCTACAGCCGAGCTGATGTCAGCTCACGAGGTGGGAAGTCGAGTTTTGTCCGAGATTTGTCGGAGTAAGATGGCGGTGTACCTTCTTTTAATTAACTACACAAAAATACAGCAAGGTTGTACTAAATGAAGAACATAGAAATGTGCATCAGTGTGTTCTGCTTTTGTATGTTTTTAAATAATTTACGAAACCACTGTAAACTTTACTGTTACAATTAATATTATATTATAATGCTATCATATTCTGAGCAGGAAATTAGCTCACTGCGCTGTAAGTAGAAAAGCTTGACAATATCACTGCTAAATACCTGTAAGTATTGTGGTGTTTGCCATGTGAGTAGCCCCAGAGTGCAGTCTGGACGATGGGGCGAGGCGACACTTTTGGGCGGGGCGACACGTGTCGCTCCGCCCACACCTGATTTTATTGGCTTATAATACAGCACTCTTATTGGCGTAGATGCTTAAGGCATGAGCATGCGCATTCCATTATGTACGAGTCTATGGTAGGAGTTTATGGATGATCTACGACGCTGTTTGGCCATAGCAGAAATATTAAGTTATAACCATGGCGATTTCCTATTTCAGTAACGATCAATTGGATAATGTTTTGATGAATTTACGAATCAAGTTAGATGAAGTTCCTGTCAAAATGTATTCGTATAGCGCTCAATTCACATCGTTTCAAAGCAGCTTTACAAAAAGTAATATTGTAAGCTTTATAGGCTATAATATTGAGCAGTTTTAGGGCTAGGCGATATCACGAAATAGCCTATGTTGCTGATGATACACTGTTTGAGATTTAGCCTAGATACTATTGTATTTATTAATTTACCCTGGAGATAAAGTCATGCAGTGCCACTTTTAGTGAGCAATGATCATGACGGCATGAAAATTAATTACTGGCATAGAAGGAGAGATAATTTCTATAGGCTGATGATTTAGGCTAGACAATATTTTTCCGCATTTCATGCAGGGCTCCGGAATTTTACATCATTCGTAAATGCTTCTTCGTTTTTCCATTAGGATCAGTGAATAAACACAAACTCGGGATTTTACACAAATGATGATAACTGTATTTCAGTAAAACATTGTATAAATCCAAAAGTGTGTTTTATTTTATTTTAAAGCAAAACCACGGTGACAAATAAGACAATGATAGGCTACCAAATAGCATACAAGCCCTGGCCATTGGGGTTTGTGCGTAGGCTACAAAAGGAATAAAAACCGTGCACTGCTGAAATGTGAAACAAAATATATATATATTTATTTACTAAAACAGATTTATTATGTCGATCTAGGCTATAGCAAATATTATTATTTATGTGCTCAAGAGTGTATTTAAGCAATATGCCTACATGTTCATATCACTTCTCTGCTGGGTATTTTATTTATTTTATTATAGGCCTTATAATTGCACAGATTTACAGCAGTGTTTTTTTTATGGTTATGCAGCTAGCCTATATGTGAGTGTTAATATTTAAAACCATTTTTATCCCGTAGCCTATACTACGCAGATTAAAACATGGACACGTAATGCGGGGGTGGATAAATAAATTATAGGATTTTTATAATGTCGCAGTCACAGATAGTTGTAGCTAGCCTACATGTTAACCAGTTGACACTTATTAGAAAACATGAATCTTTTAAAACTATAACATAGGGCTTTACAGAACCATATATAGGCCCTCATTTTATTAACAGGCAAACAACAATGAAACATGAGTTTGCCATTAAACATTTTATTTTGCACTTTGTAGCCTACCAAATAATGCACGCATTGGCCAACATCTCGTTAAAAAATGAAACAAAAACGGTCGTGCTTTAAAAATTAAAATCAGCTGCTATTAGGCTACATTCTTATAGTGAATTATCATCCTTTGCGTAAAATCCCGAGTTTGTGCTGATCCACCGATCCTGATAGAAGTATAAAGAAGCCAAGTGAATGACGCGCTATAATGTAAAACATCTCAATGAAGTAGGCCTACAGGTGCTGTGTCACCAAGCGTTCGTTTTTAAACAATAACTTAATCAATTCTGTGTCTTAAGTACAATAAAACAGCAATAGATCTTAACTAAAATTACCATGGTAAACCGATAAGATAGCCATACGATTAAAGTATTTAATAGTTCTTTAATACGGCCAAATCATTCATAAAATCGTACTTAAAGGAATGCGCATGCTCAGACCTGAATCGTCTACACCAATAAGATTGCGGTATTATAAACCAATAAAATTGGGGGTGGGCGGAGCGACACGTGTCGCCCTGCCCAAAAGTGTCGCCCCGCCCCATCGTCCAGACTGCACTCTGGGGTACTACATGTTTCTCACTGACACGCCCCAACTCGTGAAGATCGGGGCTTAAAGAAAATCCCGAGCTTCCCACTGGTATTTACGACCTTGTGGAGGCGTTCATGAGCGTTCAACTCGTAAATACGATTTTCCGACATGACTTCAACGAACCAGTTCGGTTCTTCTTGCCGCATTGCATTATGGGCACAACTACGACCGTTGGTGAACATTTTTGCATATTAGCGTATCAAAAAGATGCGTAGATAATAAAAGGCAACCTGTATAGTAAAAAAATTGTTATAGGACAACACGACAAAAGAAACACACACACACACACACACACACATTGCTGAGAATGAGACAGTGAAACTTCACGATTAGCATTTCTGGCTAACGTTAGTTCTGAACCAAACTAACATTAACCACCAACTCCTCTGGAAGAAAAATACCAGTAACCTCACGCTGTAGTAAGTTAGATGTTTTCGTTTATAATAATGCATAAGTTAATATCACTCTACTAAAGATCTCTCCTCTGTAACACTGAAGTTGTTCTCGTATATTTCAGACACCACAATAATACGACCAAACTCCGACAGTTGGTTCAACGGCTGCTAGCACTTTTGCTGATAGATAAGTTAGACTAACGTTAGGGGATTCGAGCATCAGTTTGTGGATAGAGACACTTGATTGCCATTTCTTCGGATACAGTGGAGAACATTTCCAGCAATTTTAACAGAACACTTTTGTTGAAAACTGTTGTTTTTCTTTCTTACCCACACGCTTGCCAGGACATATCTTCGCTGTTTTGCAGAAGTCTTACATTTCTCCGATAGTTCAGGATTCAGGAAGCACCATACTATTATACGTGTAAGATATGTGTGTTTGTTATGAATTATCGTCTGCTACAGACTGTGTGTGTGTGTGTGTGGTGTTTTGTGTGCGCTTATAACCTCCAACTGCTGCCTGCCCTGACTGAGCCCGCGCGCGCGGATGCTGTGTTCGCGCGCGTCATGTGTGCGCTCAGCATTGCGCAGTTCCCCGCACTCGGGCCTCTCCGCACACCGCACGCACATGGGGCTGCGCAGACAATACGCAGAAGAGGCTGGCCACGAACGTAAACTGTAGTTGAAAATCGGTACACGTTAATTCGACGACACACAGAATTGACCTTAATTATAAGGCAAGATACCCCAGGTGAATAGGGTAAAACAAAAACTACAATTAACTTAATAAATATCATCATACTTCACCAGTTGATTGATTTTAATAATTGCAAACATGTTTAAATTACATGTTCTGAAATATGCAAATGAGGCGTTGTCTAATTAAATATGCACTATTTTGCATACATTTCTAGAACAAAAATCTGAACATTGGATAAAGCCAGGTTCAAAATTCTTGTTTCATTTTTTATATATATATTAGATTCAAAGGTTTTTACAGAGGGGATTTTGGATATGTCTTTTTATCACTCCATAAATCAGAAAATACTGTTAACAGCCAGAAATAAATACATTTTCACCATTATTTTTAGGAATTAAATGTTGTACAAAATCAGGAAATTGTATAAAACCCTCCTGGAAAAAACATTCAGAATATAGATATAAAACTGTAAAGTTTGGTGAATGATTTGCTACTGAAGTGGACATTTCTGGCTCAATAGGAGGAGAAAACGGCCTCGTATGAATTCGTACGAATGACCATACCCCTGATCCCCCCCCCCCCCCCCCCCCCCCCCTAAACCTACCCATCACGTGGGTTTAGACAAATCGTACGAATTTGTACGAGTGAGGTCGTACGAATTCGTACGAATTAGCCACCTTTTAATCACTCCTATGAATTCGTACGAATTGGTCATGAGATAGCGTTGGTCCTCCATCTGGTCTGGATACGGCCCGGATCCGGGCATCCAGCTGATTACAGTAAACCTCGGAATAAACAGAAAGACTAACATTAGCGTAGATGCCATTCTTCTTATGCTGTAAACGAGTACATCAGGTGTTATAGGAAGTGTCCCCGGTTCCGGCTGACCTAATCTATGCAGCCTAATAACCATTTAACTGATTTGAATAATTTAACTGATTTGAATGTGAATGCCAGGTTAAAGAGGTGTGTTTTTAGTCTAGCTTTGAACTGACAGAGACATTGTTTGCTTCCCAGACAATGTTAGGAAGACTGTTCCAGAGTTTTGGTGATAAATAGGAAAAGGATCTACCGCCAGCAGTCGATTTTGATATTCTAGGTATTATCAACTGGCCTAAATTTTGAGATCGCAATAGACGTGAAGGACTAAAAGCCCTATATAAATGAGGATGACTTTAATGCGTTAAGAGCTCACTCAAGTACTGCGGAGCTAAACCATTTAGTGCTTTGTAAGTAATCAGCAATATTTTAAAATGTATACGATGTTTAATAGGGAGCCAATGCAGTGTTGACAGAACCGGGCTAATATGGTCATATTTTCTGGTTCTGGTAAGAACTCGAGCTGCTGCGTTTTGGACCAGCTGTAGTTTGTTTATTACAAACTAATAAAGTCATGTCTACACATAACAAAGGACATATTTTAGATCTTGTGATATCTAATGGATCTTTTGTGTCTCAGTTGTCTGCCATTGACAACCATTGGTTGTCTGATCAGTAGAGATCAGTTGACCCCTCTAACTTTTCTGTTTTTATTGATTGTTCATTAAGTAGTACCGACGACGAGGACTTAACAGAGCAGCCATCAAGTGTTAGACAGTATTCTAGGTTATTACGTGAGGAAGTTTTCTGTCCAATAATTAGAAACTCTTTTTTTTCAGAATTTAGTAGTAGGAAATTACTAGTCATCCAATTTTTTATATCGGCTATGCATCCCGTTAATTTTGTGAATTGGTAAGTTTCGTCAGGGCGTGAAGAAATATAGAGCTGAGTATCATCAGCATAACTGTGAAAGCTAACTCCATGTTTCCTAATGATATCTCCTAATGGTAGCATGTACAGAGTGAACAGCAGCGGTCCTAGTACTGAGCCTTGTGGTACGCCATACTGAACTTGTGATCTATAAGACATCTCTTCATTTACTGCTGATAACGGTCAGATAAGTATGATTTAAACCATGCTAATGACAATGAGGAATTCATGATTTTAAGAAGAGGATCTATGACCTCTGGAAGCATCTCTTTCATCTCTTTACTGTGAGCAACATACATTTTATATAAAAAAAAAATTATTTTCAGGAAAGAAAAGTATTTTTTTTAATCAAGATTATTTTTTACCTAGCAATCATCGTATTGTACATACAGTTATTTGACTTGCATAATCTAAAGTAGCTATTTCTCTAGTTTAATTTGATGCTTTGCATTCATGCTAACTTCAAACCCATATGCTAAAACAGTTAGCTAAGGTATGACTTTTAGGGGTGGGGATAGTTGTAAAAAGTTGTTTGCATTTTTCTTTTAACCAACCCCTTCCAGACGATTCCAGTTATTAATCGCATCCCCTGTTAAGACAAAATCATGTGAGTTTTTTGTTGTGCATTGAGGGATTTATGTGGTAAATATGTTTCCATAATAGTTTATGCGCATATCTTCTTATCGGATAAAAACATTATCCATCTCAACTGAGCATATACAATTTTTTGGAATTTATGCACATCTCTGCATTTCCATCCAGCGTTTTTTATGTGATATCCCAAAATTCACATAAAATAAGTGGATGGTGACATAGCTAGTGCCTTAACTGTTATGTGACAGGAACACACACACACACGATGGATCTTATTTCAGCAAATTAGCAACTCACCGGAGTAGGTTGTAACAATGGGACTCTTTGTGTTTGACATTAATTCAGATAATCTGGGATTGTGTTGTACATGTTCAAGTGAGTTATATTAAAGTTACATTTATTTGTAAGTTACAAGTTACAGTTACAAGTCTACAGTTATATGGTAGCAAATGTAGCTACCATATATCACATTTTTAGAGAAATAAACAACCACCGTGTTACCGATGCTCAATCAAAAGTTCTCTCTCTCTCTCTCTCACTCTCTCTCTCTCTCTCTCTCTCTCTCTCTCTCTCTCTCTCTCTCTCTCTCTCTCTCTCTATTTAAATTTATATTATAATTTATAATATACATTTTAGCAAAGATTTTATTAAACTTTAAACAAAAACATGTAACAATATTAGCAATATATCTGTTTAGCTACAATGAGAAAAAATATATTCTGTATATTTGTCAGTGGTATTACACTTCTCAAGACATGTTAAGCATTAATACATGATTTCATAAAGCACAGTCATATTATGTTCACATTTATGGATCATTCATAATATAGATTTGATTATGTGACATTTTTAATAACAGCAGAAGAGTAAGTTTTGCACAAAATGTTACAAAGCAAAACTGTTATTTCCCCCATGATGCTGGTTTCAGTAATCAGATAAAGAGCATTAGACGAAGACAGTGCCAACCTGCAGATCCACAGTCCCTAAGAGACGAGCACGAGCAGAAATATAGACTTTTACAGATTTTGCAACAAGCTGCTTTTCCAGTGGTGCAATCAACAAAAACATCTACTGCAATGTCCTTACACAACGAACAAGAGTGCAACGCACACTGATGACATATTCCCTTTTATTATGAATGCAAAATGAGCAAAACTCCTCATTCTACAGCTGTGTTTCCTGCATCGCAGCGTTTACCCTGATCAGAGTCCAGTGCTCGTCCAGAAGCATGCGCTCTCGCTGAGCTGGCGGTGCGGGAACGTCCCCGGTCAGAGGAAGCCATCTTCCCCAGAGATGTAGGAGAAGCCGGTGAAGGCGCCGGAGCTGCTGGTGGCCAGGCTGGGCGTGGGCTCGGGCGTTCGGCCCACTGAGTTCGGCACCATCTCTCGGGTGAACTCTGGGTCAATGTGCTGAAGGTCTGCAGGGCCTCTCTGGAGAAACACATGGCTTTACACACAGATCGCCTTCAGTGCCAGGCGGGACAGAACTCAATACGTGCATAAAGTAAAGAGGAGCACTAAGGCCACGTGTCCACCAAAGAACGCTTTGGCAGCGCAGCGTTTCCCCAGTTGAGACGCTTTGGTTGCTATGATGTGCTACAGAATATCTGCGAAAGTGTTACTAGAATCTCATTTCACAGTTTGTTTCTGTGTTGTTTCTGTATCATGTCCTCCTGGGAGTTTACGACGTCATGTGCGGAGTAAGATGGCGGTGTACTTTCTTTTAATTAATTACACAAAAATACAACAAGGTTATTAAAATCTACTTCCAAAAAATGAAGAACAAGGAATGTGCATCAGTGTGTTTTGCTTTTTTATGTTTTTAATTAATTTATGAAGAAACTGTAAACTTTATTGTTACATATTATATTGTTATATTATAATGCCATCATATTCTGTGCAGGCAATTAGCTCACTGCGCTGTAAGTAGAAAAGATAAGTATTGTGGTATTCGCCATGTTTCTCACTGACACGCCCCAACTCGTGAAGATCGGCAAGATCCTGAGCTTCCCACTCGTATTTACGTCATTGTGGAGGCGTTCATGTGGTGTTCATAAATACGATCTTTACGACATGACTTGAACGCAGCATATTTGCTCTGGCTCTTGTTTTAAATGATTTTGATTATGCTTGTTGTTGTCGTCTGTAGACGTTGCACGGGCAGAATGTGGCGGTTGGCCGGTGTGGAATTAGCCCCGCCTCTCCTTCACCGTGATTGGCCGGCTGAGTAAACAGTGACAGTGATGAGCGCTGTGTTTTACCCAAAGTTGAACATTCTTCAACTCTCGGCGACCGGTAAAAAACGCAGAGCGTTCAGCGTGAAATAGACGCTCAGTGCCTCGTTACGCTCCTGGCGTTTTTAAAACGTGGCGCTCCCATTGAAAACAATTGGAAAAATTTGCCAGCTGCGCTTTGGTGGACACAGTGCACTAATAATCTCTGTATGTGGTGCCCAATAAAGAGCGAGGGCCCAGAGGAGTTTGTAAGAGCCTACCACATTGGGGTTATACGGAGGCGTGATGCGCTTGTGGTAGAGGTCGTCCCAGTTTATAGGGGCAAAGAACAGATGATTTTTAATCTCCAACTGCAAAACAACAACAGTTGACACATTAACTGCGACTCTTGGCCTGGTAAACAGTTTCACAATGACAAAGACATCCAGATGGTCACTCACAAAATCAGCAATGGCTCCGATGCGGCGGCGCTGGTCTTTCTGCAGGAGTGCGTGGAGCAGGTGTCCCGAGGCCTCGGACTTCCCCGGCGGCAGGTGCAGCGGCTTGTGCAGGATCGCATCGTACATCTCAGACACATCGCGGCTGTAGAACGGAGGCTGTGTGTCACAATAATCCAAAAAGAAATGTGATTATATTCCATTGAGTTTGGGCTAAGCTAAATTATACCATGGTCTGGGTGAATACTCAATTCTGATTGGCTGCAGGGTGTCCATTAAAAAGTGATAGAGGACACCTAGTAAAGGAGTTCTGGTGAAACTGACTGTTTACCGTTCGAAATTAATAAATAAATGCGCTGGCTACATCAGCTGTGAGTAACCATAGCAACAGGCAGTCGAAAGTGTAGCCATGGGCGTTTTTAAACGAAAGTGTAACGCCCAGGGCTAGACAAGCCTAACTTACATGAAAAAAATACGTTGGCTCGTAAGTTAGCTAAACTGAAGGGTTCTACGAGCTGAGCGGACAATAAATATCTCAGGCGTAACCAGGGAAACCAAGTCATTGTTCGTAAAAACTTTCGATTTCGATTGTAAAACTAATTAAAATATAAACTAATGTTTTAAAAATGTGTTATTTGGCAAGTGACCGTGGTATAAGCGGGTTAATGCCCTTCGAGGTGTCCATTGTCTGGGTATTAATGGACTCCGCTGCGCGTCGGACGGTTCACGCCTCGCCGTCGTCCATTAATACCTGACAATGGACACCTCGTCGGGCATTAACCCTTACGTAAACATGTTGAGGCGCTCAGTAAACTTACCAAGCTGTAGAGCATCTCATATAGCACCGCTCCAAGACACCACCAGTCCACCGTGCGGTCGTACGGCTCTTTCCGGAGCACCTCGGGTGCCAGATACTAGAGTGAGAGAAGATCACATGGCTTTGGGTCACGTTAAAGGCCCTGTAAGGCAAGCCCATCTCTGAAACGCCTCTTTTAGGCCGCTGTTTCAGTCATGCTGCCATAGACCTTATTCACAGCAGCGCCATCTTTGATGTTTAACGGGAATGAAAGTGAGGCTGTGAAGGATAGAAATGCTTCTCTTCAGTGGGTTGCACTGTTGTTCTGCTGACGAAACACTTGCAAAAATATCTTTCATAGAAATTTCAGTAGACAAAAAAAAAAAACTCCACATGAGCTCTAGAAAATTAGTGATCTGGGAGTTTTATACAGGTTTTTACAGCGGATGCTTTTGAGAAGACAGTAAGTCTATCGCTTTCATACCTGTCATGGCGTCGCTATGAATGAGGTCTATCTCTTTGAATGGGGAAGCTGTTCACTAAGCGTATGATTAAATTTCATATTTGAAATCACTAATGTGACCGTAAATGGTTTGTTGTTTCGACGTGCGTAAGGTGTGGCAGAGGTTGATTTCCCCAACGAGGGAGAAAGCTTGACATGGAGCAGCGTAATCTCCAACCTCCGGGGATCATCCGTTTTAAACAAACCCTGAACAGACCAGAGTTTTATGGCAAAAAGAGAGAAAGCAACAGAGCTCGTAATAAAACAAGAATCAACATTGGCTTTTCTGAGATGGTGAGAACTGAGGGATTTGAAATGTGGTAAAAGCGACGCAGAGATGGTGTTTTTATTACTAAAAAGCTGATTAAGGTGTTTTATTGGACAGATAAATTGCCATGTGTAGCTCTATAACAGAGTTGATTGTAAAGCATTATTTGTTGTGAAGGGTCATATTCATCCGCTCAGACACGCAGAGCTGAAGCACAGCCAAAACAATATTCTCCCACAAAATGCATGTAGTTTTGTTTTTAACTGCTAGAGGGCCAAAAGTTACACAGGCCGTGTCTGAAACCTTAAACAGCTGAATGTTGCCACACTCCCTTATAGGCAAGGACTTCGCAGGCAGCGTTTGCACACGATGGCTCCTCGCGAAACTGATTTCAGACACACTTCTGAGGCAGCGCAACGGTTTAATGATCTACACCAAAATAGAGAGAGCTTTGGTGAAAACGAAGACAATATTTAAAGGAGCTGTATGTAAGATTGTGGCCAAAACTAGTACTGCAATCACTGTCAAATTACTGTAGAGTGGTGTATCCCCTCCCCCTCCCCCTGACTCGAGGTTGCCAGATCGGCTGCAGGATCGTGACGAGCTGCAGCTGTGGTAACTAGAGCAGAGCTGGCAACCCGGATGCCGCAACACTACTGACTTCGTGATTGGTAGATAGGTGGAGGGTGGAGCATCAGACCAAAACACAACATGACAACATCAATATCAGTTGAGGGCTGCAACTGCACTATTTAAATGACGAAATCCTGGCCAGACTACTGTTGTCAGTGATATAAGTATTTGAAATGTACATGATTTCTTAATGTCTAGTGACATTTCAGGGTCATTTTATGATTAATTGAAATACATTTCTTACATACAGCTCCTTTAATTACTACAATATTAATTTCTCGCTAGAAATGACATCAGAAGTGGGAAACGTTGGTCAAAAATGCACATTTACACACAAACTGACCAAGGGCCGCAACTGTCAGACGGCATCTTTATGTTTCTAGCTCAACTGTCACAGTATGGAAAGCACAGGATTGTGGGAAATCAAAGGCAGCGAAGGATACATCTACGCTGCCTTCAAAAATCGATCAGATCAAGGTTTCTCAGGAGCTAACATTGGATTCGCCCCCTGAAGGCAGCTTTTGAACGTTTTCGGACGCAGCCATAGTGTATTAGCTCAGGATAAATAGGATTAAAGGGTTATACTATATCAGGGGTCGGGAACCTATGGCTCGCGAGCCATATATGGCTCTTTTCCGGATTTTATATGGCTCTCCAATTTTCAAATGTTGACTGAAAATACACCCTCGAACATGATGATAAAATTATTTTGAAACTATTAGCATTTCTGATTAATGTATAATTCTGAATGTGTAAAATTAAATTAAATATGTTCAAAATATTTAGGTAAGAGACTCGCAGCTTAATATGAATGACAGCGGCGTTTGGCCTGTAGCTAGCCTACCTTTCAGAGTGCTGAATTTTAATTGGCCGACGGTTAGGCCTGCGTCAAGTCAAGATCAAGTTAAACAACTACCTAGCTGGCTGAATTAAAAATCATCATCAACGAGAGGAAAATGGCGAAAAGAAAAAAAGACGACGATTACCGTTCATTTCGGCCTGAATGGACGGATCAATTTGCATTTGTGGAGAAGTTGGGGTCCGCAGTGTGTCTCATTTGTAATGAACGTATTGCGTCGCTCAAAAAGTCAAATATTAAGAGACATTTTGAGACGCACCATGCAGCATTCGCCGCAAAACATCCCGATGGAGAATGCAGGAGAAAAGCTTGCGCTGAGCTTCAGCGGAGAATGGAAACCGGACAGCAGCAGCTGCTATCATGGACTAATAAAGGCGGGAATCTGAATTCTGCAAGCTTTGCTGGTGCTCTGGAGATTGTGCGGAGTGGGAAACCATTTACAGATGGAGACTACATTAAGGGTTGCATGCTCAGTGTTGCAAAAGAACTGTTTAACGACCTCCCAAACAAGGATAAAATTATTCAAAAAATCGAAGAAATGCCTTTCTCTGCAAGAACTGTTCATGATCGTGCACTGGTGATGGCACGCCAGATAGAGGAGATGCAAATCAACGACATCAGTTCAGGTAGTTACTTTTCTCTTTCCTTGGATGAGTCTACCGATGTGAGCAATATCCGGTTGTTAAGTCGTGACGTAACCACTCTCCGATAATACTGTTTCCGGGTCCAAAGGCCGGGTCCTCTCTACCTACCTACCGCTTTCGCCCGAGTTTTAACGTGTTCCCGTGTTGTTTAAATAGATCGGAGTTAAAAAACAAGTGACATTCAACTATCATTCTACCGCTTTCCCTGTGACGAGAAAGATAAGAGAAAATGGCTGCAGTTGATAAGGTAAGTTACAAATCTTAAACGAATGAAGAAACTTTGGCGCCAGTGGGTGCTATCCCTTAATCCCTAGTAACACCCACTGGCACTGAAGCGAAAAAAGCCCTTAAGAAAAGGGTTTATTTAGTCTAGGATCTGGAGTGGACGAGCGGAGCGCTTGGGCCCGGAAGAGGCTAAACGTCACGCGTGACGTCAGACTTAACAACCGAATAGCGCAGCTAAGCATAATCGGGCGGTATGTGACGGGTGATACAGTGCGTGAAGAGAGTCTCGTTGTTTTGCCGATGAAAGATACAACAAGAGGTGAGGATGTGTTAAAATCTCTGATGGACTTTGCTGCAGAGAAAAAGCTCCCACTGAATAAGCTTATATCTGTGTGTACTGATGGAGCACCCAGTATGTTAGGGAAACATAAAGGATTCGTTGCCCTTCTGTGTGAGCAAGAGAAGCGGCCCATCTTAAACTTTCATTGCATTGTGCATCAAGAGGCACTGTGTGCTCAGTCGTGTGGAGAGGAACTTCGCGAAGTGATGTCATTGGTCGTTCGCATTGTGAACTTCATTGTGGCCCGAGCTTTAAATGATCGCCAGTTTAAGGCCCTGTTGGATGAAGTGGGGAGTAATTATCCAGGGCTGCTACTGCACAGCAATGTGCGGTGGTTATCCAGGGGAAAAGCACTCGCCCGTTTTGCTGCCTGTTTAAATGAAGTGAGGGCATTTCTGGAAATGAAAGGAAATGTTCATCCCGAGCTCAATGACATTGAGTGGCTCCTGAAGTTTCACTACCTGGTGGATATTACATGTCATATGAACCACCTCAATGTGAAAATGCAAGGCATTGGGAACACAATCTTGTCCCTGCAACAGGCAGTGTTTGCATTTGAAACAAAGCTGGAGCTGTTTATCAGGGACATAGAAAGTGGCCGTCTCCTGCATTTCGAAACATTGCGGGCATACAGAGAGGAATGCTTAGCGAGGGACGCCACTCATCATTTTGACCTCCGTAAGCTCGCAGCCTTTACGTCTGATTTACTGATGTCATTCAAATCACGCTTTGTGGACTTCCGCAGACATGCCGATTTGTTCAAAGTGATAACTCATCCACATGTGTGCACCGTGGATACACAAAACCTGAGTGTCTTCCCTGGAATCTCCATCGGAGATTTTGAGCTGGAAGCTGCTGAACTGAAGGTGACGGATATGTGGGTGTCAAAATTTTTCACTTTGAATTCCGAACTGGAAAGCCTCGCTCGTCAGCGGGCAGAACTGGCAAAGCAACATAAGTGGGCAGATATGAGAAAACTCCAACGTGAAGACAATCTCATCCTGAAAACCTGGAACGAACTTCCAGCCACTTTCAGCACAATGCGTCGCATCAGTGTTGCTGTCCTGACAATGTTTGGCTCAACATACACATGTGAGCAGTCCTTCTCACATCTGAACAATATCAAAACCAACCTGCGTTCAAGGTTAACAGATGAAAGCCTTAATGCCTGCATGAAGCTGAATCTCACTAGTTACGACCCCAACTACAAAGCACTCAGCAAAATGATGCAGCAACAGAAATCTCATTAATGTAAGTAGGGTGCAATGCACTTCTTGTTAATCACTTGTCTATGATGCCCGTTTCTCAATTTTTGTGGTGTCTTAGGAGTGCTAGAAAGTATGATGGTATGAAGTAGCCTTAGCTTGGGTGTCAATGAGTGAAAAAAAAACAGCGTTATTGCCACCTACTGGTGTTGTTATTAAATAAAAATTGGCAAATATTTCTAATACACAAGTGTAAACTTTGCTGTGGCTCTTTTGAAAAATTTCTAAAAAAAAATTTGTTTGTTTGGCTCTTCTTGGTAAAAAGGTTCCCGACCCCTGTACTATATGCATCTTGATTCATACCTCTGGAGTGCCGCAAAAAGTTGTGGTGGTTCCTTCTGGTTCTATGCCTTCTTTACACAAACCAAAATCTGTTAACACCACATGGCCCTGAAAGAGATGAGAAACAGAAATATACACTATCAAAATGTATTTGCCATTGTACATATACTACGTGAGTTCTGTATTCATATTCATTTTACCTGGTAGTCTAGCAGAATGTTTTCCGGCTTGAGATCTCTAGACGGGAGCATGGAGATATGTGAGTGAGGTCAGGCCAGCTGTAACTGGGATTATAATGAGCAGCGTCCCGAACACTGACCTGTACACTATATTGAGGGAGTGCAGGTATCCGATGGCGCTGGCCACCTCGGCGGAGTAGAAGCGAGCTCGGGCCTCTGAGAAGCAGCGCTCTCGCTGCAGGTGATAAAACAGCTGAGGGACAAGAGAGACCTGCTATTAACACACGCCGCTCGTTTCCGATAGGTAAAATCTGTTTAAAGCTAAAGTTTGTCTGTAAACATAAGGGCATATCAAAATATACACTCTAAAAAATGCTGGGTTGTTTTCACCCAAATTTAATTTTCAACCTAATGTTTGAGTTTGCCCATATTTGACCCAAAATTGGGTTAAAACAACCCATCATTTGTAATGTTGTGCCAAATCCGCCCTCTGTCATTCACTGCCAAAAATGCTTTTCTTACTCAGATTTTGTCTTGTTTCCCGTCCAAATATCTAAAAAGTCTTTAAATCAAGAAGCATTCTCTAGACGAGTAGAAACCATTGTCTTGTTTTCAGAAAAAAATAAGTCAAAATTAAATGAATTTTTGCTTGAAAAAAGCGAAATAATCTGCTAATGGGGTACGCAACATTTTCTGTTTGAAATAAGATTATTTTGCTTACTCCATTTTGCACAGGTTTTTGCAGTGTAATCCTGCCTTTTTTTGTGTTGAGTTTTTCTTCACAGGTTATTAAAAGTTGTAAATCACTATCAGTCATGCTTTCTCCCCATACCTCTCCACCATTGACATAATCCAGGACAAAGTACAACTTCTCGGTGGTCTGGAAGGAGTAGTGCAGGCCGACCAGAAAGGGGTGTTTGAGGCTCTTGAGCAGCACGTTCCTCTCCGCCATTATATTCTTCTGCTGTTGTACACACACACACACACACACACACAGCGTTGGCCGAGGTAAGCAGGAGAATACACACATGAGCCGACACAGTGACAGTGCTTACAGCCTCAAGCTTTTCAATGACAACACAATCATATTCTGCAAGCAACTTTAACTGTGCTTGTGTGTTAGTACACACTGGGGCCATTTTCATGAATTATACTCCAACATCAAAACAAGTGGTAAATATTAGTCACTGCTACAACTATACTGTAGTAAATAAAAAGCCCGTCTTTTGGCCAGCAAGTGAGAGATTACCATGGTACAAAGGACAGAGTATTAGATTAGATTAGCATTATCAGAGCAAAGGTGTTTTGATCTTTCATGTAACACTATAGTCTTGCAAGGGCTGGTTATATGGACAAACAAGCTAAACAAAACAAATACAAACCTCTTTTTTCTTCAATATAACCTTCTTCTGCAAAACCTTCACTGCGTAGAACTTCCCGTCTGCTTTCAGTTTGGCTAAGAGCACCTGCAACCCACATGATATCTCAGACACGGTTGTGGATAAAATAGCAGTTCTGTAACTTCAGTCTTGTATAGGTCACTTATGCCCAGTGGAAAACCAAACACAACTTCCATCAAGGTAACCTTACTAGGCTTCCTTCTGAAGTGTTAATCATTGGTGAAGTCATAAGGTACACTGTTAATCAGACAGTGGCGTCGGACGCGCCTCACCTTCCCAAATGTCCCTTTACCAATCACAGCCAGAAAGTCAAAGTCGGTGGGTTTGGCACTGAAGCACACAAGACAACACAAACTGTCACGGTATGCATCACAATCACTTTCTGTGCACATAAATCCATTAACTGTGTTCATTTGCACATATGAAAGGTTTATTCTCTTGACAAATGACTAATAAAACAGGGACATCTTACTGAGGATTGACAGACACACCCAGATTGACCTCGTCTGATGGAGACGCTGATAATGGCTGGAGGGGACATTAAACGTGTGTTAAACGGCATGGCTAATCTAGAAGCTGAAGCTGTAACACCGAAGAATAAAACGTTCTTACTGAATTATAATGAGCCATCTTGTGTTCCCGCGAGTCTCTCTGTCCTGAGTGTGAGATGGACGTGTCCACCAGCACTGAGCTTTATGCTGGTCTGGCTGAGTGAAACTGGATGTTCAGGTTTGGGTGACACAGACCCATGAAGGACGTTTGGGAACTCAGCATTAACGAGTTTACACAGTAAATACAGGTTTGCAATTCTCCTGCAAATTAGGACTACGAATAAACACTATGTTCTGGAAGGTCATCTCTTCTTGTTAGTGTACAGGATCGACTAAACGTGTTGTTTGTTTGATAGACACAATGGAGTAAAGCAAAACGATCTTATAATCATAATCAATAAGTTATTCATGTTTTTATTCATCTTATTCAACTGTTCATTGGATGGAAAATTATGACCTTAATTAATAATAATACTACTAATACTAATAACTCACATAATAATAAAAGTATATTGTATGCACTGACAAGCTGTTTGAATGCTATATTTTCTAAAAAGATAACAAAGAGTGTAAACACGATTTTAGACAAAAACATGCATTTTAAATAATTTGTTAAAAATTGAACATTTCTGAGAAACAACTTACCTGTCAGCGTTAAATATATAGTTTATGAAGTTTTGCTGATAAAGTGTTGTTGAAGTGCATCATTGTCTGGCCGTGTCTCTGAAGCATCGCGTTACACAGCCGTGTTTGGCTGGAGGCCCGGGTGAATGATCAACCCATGTGTGCACGACTCTAGATATGAGAGCCCGAGCCCGCAGGACAGCAGTGTGTGTGTGTGTGTGTGTGTGTGCGCGTGTAATCTGTTATGCTCTGGACACAAATATGTCCCTAGAAATGAGTTAAATCTGACAAAACTTCCATCTGGGCGGGGACATTCTCATTGGTAAAAACACTAAATTAAGTAGGCCTAAATAATCTTTTGTTTATGATATTATTATGAAAATGTAGAACTGTTCGGGTGTGGCTTTGGGTTAGTCAGTATTTATTAACTGCATATAAAAACAATAGGCCTAGAAGATAACGTGAGTGTGTGTGTGTGTGTGTGTGTGTGTGTGTGTGTGTGTACAGGTTTGGCTATAAGGGCCGAATGTCCTCACAAGTAAAATATGATAACCAACTTTATATTATTATGATAAATTGATAATCAAGAATTAAGTTTCACCTGCGCTTCATTTATCACCTGTGTTTGCCCTGTGTATGATACCCTGTGTTTGAGTTATTCCTGGTCGGTTCTCATTAATGTCTGGAGTCATTATTGTTCCTGAGTTTATTCTAGTGTTTGTCCTGAGTTTGTAAAGCTTAATAAAGACTGTTATTGTTATTTCCTTCGTCTTCATCTTGTGCTGCTACCATGCAATATGTGATAGTTGGTGAAAGGGAGATCTGGAAACAGTAAAAGCACATCTCAGTAGGAAATCAAAACCCTATTTTCTATATATATATCTCTGGAAATGCAAAATAAAAATTAGTGCACACGTTTTCTCCATACAAAATTGAAATTAGATTGGTTAATGGTCTTAATAGTCTCTATTAGAGACAAGATGCAGGATACACCTATAGCAATAAAACATAGAGTCCCTGCGCCCCTATAGCACACGCGCGCGCCGGAGAGCGGATGGATGGATGACCCCTCTTTCTCTTCATGCCCTGGCCCCTGAGCTACTATACAGCACACTTCAGGAACTGAACTCTCCTTAAACACTAATGAATATATATAGAACAAAACTGTGCTGCATGTAAGCTTGCTTATGTTCCTGAAGAACATGAAGTCCACGTCATGTAACAATAAAAGGATTAGTTCAGTCATGAAACTGTAGATGGCGCAGGCGGTGAACGAGATTTCACCAAGTACCACATGTTCCTGGATCAACATCTCCAGTCAACCAATCAGATTTGAGGGACAAGTTTACAGTTTATGTCAAGTTTAGGCTTAGAGCCAGCGTTACGTGCTTCTACATCAGTGTTATTCACCTGTCATTACCCTCTGATTTCAGGGAAATGTTATGGGTAGGGTTAGGTTTAGGGGTAGGGACTACATTTTGGGACAGGAATGTTATTCCAGGATCAACAAAATCCAGGAACATTTCTTACTTGGCGAAATCACAGTGACCTGGCACAGGCTGTTAGCTAGTTTACATGCAACCTGCTAGCAAACACAACCTTTAAACGTTCACTACAGTGCACTCTTTGCCTCCCTTTATGCAAAAAGATTGAAACCATGCTTAAAATAAATTAGGCTATCTCTGTTCCCCAATCGGGCTTTATGAGAGGTATGAATACAGAAAATAATATTAGCCTTGTGTTGGATATATTAGGTTAATCAGTCAACTAACTGTCATGCTGTTTGTGTTAGCGGTGCACGATAAAGATGAAGGAGATCAAAATAACAGTCTTTATTAAGCTTTACAATCTCAGGACAAACACTAGAATAAACTCAGGAACAATATTGACACCATATATTAACTAGAACCGAACACGAGTAACTAAAACACAGGTTATAAATACACAGGGCAAACAAACTAATCAGTAACCATGGAAACAAACTGTGTTCAGGAACACAGGCAAACAGGAACAGAACAAAAACACAAAATAAAACACAAACAAACTGTACATATATTTTTTAAGACCTTCGACAAGGTTGAGTTTGTGTTTATGTATGAATCGTTGCGTAGGTTTGGATTGGGTTCAACTTTTGTTCAAATATTTCAAACATTTTATAAAAATAAATATGAATAGGCTAGCTAGTGTCTTTGGAGATGGTGTTTGTGATCCCCTTTTGGTTTTTGTTGGTTACTGAGTTTCTCAATATTTGTATAACTCGAAGTGTAGATGTTCAGGGTATTTTAGTGGCAGAACACACTTTTCTCATCAGTCAACCGGCGGAAGACACCTGTTTATTTAAAAGACGAGAAACCGGTTCCTGTTATTTTGGATGCTTGAAATGTATTTTGAAATGCTTCTGGCCTCTCGGTCAGTCAAAACTAAAGTGATTTCATGCCTGTCGACAGACTTGATAAAGAACATATAGAAGATATTGAGTTAAAAAAAGGTGTTAGACATTTGGCCATTTTAATCAATAGCCTAAATCCCCCACTGATGGAAGTTTAGTAGACCGTTGTGCTTATAGTCAGTATAATGTCTTTTGATGGAGCATCAAAATAAAGTGTTAGCATATTAAGCAGACAGTCTAATACTCTAAGTTACTCCAATACATGAAGTTACAAAATTACTTAAAGTTAGTAGAAAGTGGACTATCAACATAAAGTGTTAACCAGCCATGCTGTTGCTGAGATGATCTTAGTATTTGTTTCCTGTTTTATTATTTTATTTAGATGAAAATTGTGAATCAGGCATCCAGAAATAGCACTACTCTTCTACAAGCAGCAAGACTTCATGTATCATTCACACACACACCACTAAACACAAGCAGAAACCAGACTTGAATTAAACATTTATTCATGTTGATGAACTGAACGACATTGTTACTCAACTGTACATTATTAAAATTTCCCATCAGAGAGAGAAACATAGATCACCTAAAACCTTCCCCGGTTACTATTTACCCCTCGGGGTTTCCATTCATACAAAAATAACAACACTGACATGACAATCCAAACTCGGTAAAATAGCTCATTTAACACCACAGTGTCAGTAGCACTTTGTTACTGAGGGCAAATATAGTTAACGGTCCCCAAACAATTGGTTTAGTTGGCTCAGATTGTCTAAAGGACAGCTCCCTCTAGTGGCTCCTCAGGTAAAGTGCATAAACACCATCAGGGCGCTAATAAAGGGGACAGTAGCACCAATCAACTGAAATCTGCCCTGATATTTCACTTCACACACTGAGAACAAATGTAGATTTCAGTTAACTCTCCAAATACAAAAAATCCTGCGCGGTGGTTTCAGATCGGGTTGTTCTTTATCAGAACGTGTCATTTCGCTTTTGAAATAAAGCAGCATCGAAGCTCAGCTAGGCTGTACTGTTTCATGTTTCGTTCATCCTGCTCTGGTTGTCTCTCTCTCTCTCTCTCTGGTGGGTTCAGACGTTAAACACCAAACACGTGATTAGATGGCGGATTCTGAATGGATCGTTGCGGCATGAGGAGCTTGGAGACGAGTTGCTCACTTCAGGCCTTCGTCTGTGCTCTTGAACACTAAAATGGCGTTGTGAATCTTCAGCGCTGGTCCTAGCTTTATATTCATGATCTTCACAATATCATTTTGAGTCAGAAGAAGGAAGGCCTCTCCATCGATCATCTGCAGAGAAAAGTGACGCTGTATCAGTGACCAGCTGGAACAAGAAACTTCAAGCGACATGTAACGCAACACCACTCAATGATATACCTGAACATTTCTTAAAATGTAATATAATATATAGAAACATTTTTTCTAAGAAAAAATGTTGTAGTGTGTTGGCTGGTTGCCAGGGTGTTGCTAAGCATAATTGCTATGCTGTCCAGAGTGTTGTGCTTCTTCCTAGGCTATTCTGCATCTAAATTCTTTTATAAATTCTATTCTGTTCTATAATAAACATTGATCAGTGAATGTACACATTCAAATTTGGTAAACTGAAGCTTGCATGCTTGTTGGCGAATCGATGAGATTCGTGCGTGCGTGTCACACTTCTGCAAAAACCAATGAGGGTTTTCATCAAGCATCTACGGTTGAGCTTCCGCTGAGCAAACAAGCGCTGCGGTGATGATGACGTGTGTTTGTAGGCCAACCCGTATGTCTGCATCACCCTGGTTCCCTTGACAAAAACCCAGTAGGATTTTCGCATTGGCTTATTGGAAAAAATAAGTTCTGTGAACAAAAAAAATCTTATGATTCTTACATGTTTTGTCCATCGTGATAATCTTCACAAATGAAAAACTTTTATGAATTATAAAGCCTAAATACAAACTCTTTCAGTCTTTATTTTAAAACACTTTCCATGAAAGTTTGAGTTATAATAGTTTTCAAGAGCGCGGTTATAAACAGAATAAGTGAGTAGATGAGTTTACCTGATCCGTGTGATGACGAGTAATGTCTCCCACAACATCTGTAGTGCTATTTAGCCACTTGTTAACAACCGCCTTTTTCAAGACAAGTAAAAGCTTTAATAACATCATGAGAGGGGTATTACTGATGTATTTTATGTTGTAGAAAAAAATGTGAAAATATCTGAAGCTTGTGTTCACCACCAACATTATTTTAGGCATTTAACCAAAAGCCCATCCAAAAAAAACAAACAATTGACTTTGAGGCAATGGAACCTTTGATCACCAAAATTACATATTTAAAAGTTTTTTCCTTGAAAAAATTCTTCATGCCTTACAATATCTTGAATGTAACTCGACACCCTTGCCTCATTTAGTATACGCGGCTCTATGAATATGCAAATGAGCCCCGCCTCCACTCACTCACTCAGCTCAGAGATCCACTGGTTGACGATCACACGTTGATCTGATTGGTTACAAGGTCGTTTGTGACGTCAGAAACACCAGCGATTTCAAACCGTGTTTTTGAGACTGTCTTTGGTTCACTGCAGTTTTAAGGAGAAAATACTCAGCAATGCTGTCGACTTATGAACTTACACATGGTTTGTCTTAAAGCATATTAAAAACACCACTTGGACACATAAACTACATTTAAAGCTCGATTTTCACTTAAAGGGTGTCAAGTCCTGAACGACATGAACGTGAGTAATGACAGAAGCATTTTCAACTATCCCTTTATCATCGTAAATCTAGCTTTAATGTTTTTGTTTTTTAATTTAATGTACATTTATGTTTATATATTTTGTGTTTAATTACCTTGTCATTAAATTACAGAAAACTGGTCATTGCATGAGTGTTTCTAATACAACGTCTGAAGGAGTGATGGCAAATTTTGTTCTCTTTGTCCCTTCTTCTGAGCAACGTAATATCAATCTCTTGATAATATTCACTCTTTTGGAAAGTCATAGAAACGCTATTGTGTATTTATTTTTTTGCTTTTGGGACAAATATTTGCGCTCGTCGTGCCTCCCCCAAACATCACAATCACAGCTCTTATGGGAGTTTGTGAAGGCATATCACAGTTTCTCCCACCCCCAGGACCCCCACCCTGTCCGTAGCAGTGGACAGAGGTTTGCTACATTTTGATTGGATCTTGGTGGAAAATCACAAACAAGCTGTCCAATGGCATCAGATAAAGATGCTAGGACAACAGTCAGACGCCTCTGAGAGGGCAAGAAGAAGATCTCTAGTACCAAGCCTGTGTGAAATGCAAGTTTGAAATGCATTGGTAAACTTTAAAGACACTTTTAAGAAGTCCAACTTTGTGGTTTATGCAAATGAGTTCCACAGGGGAAAGAAGGGTGGGCCACACTGTGTGTGTCGCCTCTGATGCCAGCAGCCAATCACTGCACAGGAATGGAGAAGTGCCAAACTACTATCTCCTCCTCATCGGAGAGGGATAAAGGTAACCTTTCAACAGACACTCCTTGTCCTGAGTCCCGGCCTGCGAAGCTGAGACATAACAGATATACCGGTCTGTCCTGTAGGGATAGACACAGATCAACCAAGTTCTGAGTCCCGGCCTGTTACAGAGAAGGCAGCAACAGATTCATGTTCTGAGTCTCCCATCAGGTGAGACATAACAGATACGCTGTACCATTGTGAGCCTCTGATTCGTCCAGAGACACAACAACAGATTACATGATCTGAGTCTACAGTTTACGAGGCAGCAACAGATACGACCACGTTCTGAGCCTCCAGCCTGTGAGGAAAGAGACACTACCAAACGCTACACTCAGAGTCCTCTTCCAGCGAGACCGTAATGACTACAGCATGTCCCGAGTCTCCATGCCAGAGAGACAAAGGTGGTTTGACCAAAGTCTGAAAGTCTGGCCCAGAGAGGCAGAAGACAAACAGACATTTGCAACAAAGTTAAGCTCCGGAGAGCAAACCTTCACTTCAAGGTTCCTTCATTGTTGTATATTATCAGTATATGATTTTCCAAGTTACATCAGAGGTAGTATAGCTGATGATACTGTAGTTAATAACAAATAATCATTCATTTATTTGTTTGAAGCACAATAAGGTTCTTCACCTTATTAGTTTCAGAGAAACAACAGTTTATCTTTACATAAGTTAATGTAACTCTTCCATAGCCACAGTCAACTTAGGCCATGTCCACACGGACACGGGTATTTTTATAACCGGAGTTTTTCCTACAGCGTTTTTAAAAAAAATCCCGTCCACACATGCTCGGTCTCCGTCTACATGAAAACGTAAAAACACGCAATCAGGCGCAGTCAAGAGCATGTCACGCCAGCAGGCGGCGATATAAACCTTAACCCTAAAGCCACGTTGGCCAATCAGAAGCGCAAATCTGATGTCAAACACAGCTGATAACGGCGCACACTCTGACGTCGCAAGGCAAAAACCCCGGTTTCACTGTCTACACGACAACACTGTAACCGGCGTTTCTGAAAATCCTCACCCTGGCAGGGGTTTTCAAAAATGTTCGGTTTAAGTGCGTTTTCGTGTGGACGAACGGCCGAACCGCGTAAAAAAAGTCACGGTTATAAAAATACCCGTGTCCGTGTGGACAGGGCCTTAATCACTTGTATTTTATGCATCTTATGCACTTTATTCCTTTATCATTCATGGTATTCATTTAGTAGTTGTGTTAGTTATTCTTGTTTATCTTTTGTTAATAAAATGTATTTTATTACACCTGTGTCTTCCTTGTGGAAGGATCTACAAGTTAACAATCTCACCAATCTTTTAGAAAAATCAGACCAGCTCCCTCCACTTTACATTAATCCTAAAGGATTGAAGGGCCTCCTGTTGGGAGTGGGACTGGTGCCTCAAATTAAGAGAGGGGGAAGGTGGTCATCTGATGTACTCATAACCACACCTTATGAGTGATCCAAAAATCGCAACATCAACGGTGACGTGAGTACCGATCATTACATTACTTAGTGTCCTTGAATGGGCAAAAGTAAAATCACTACAAGAGGACCTTGGCCAGGACTCCCGGCAGCAGAGCAATCGGTGGAAACCCATACAGACGCAGCCTGGGCCCCGTATGTGCCATGGCATCCAGGCCCAGGGGGTCGATGTGACTCAGAGAGCAGGAGAGGGGGCATTGTGCTGTCTTTTGAGAGGCAAAGAGGTCCACCTCTACTTCCTAAAATCTTTCCCAAATCTGTTTGGCTATCTTGCGACGACAACATGCACCTAGAGTGGGACCCAAGGTGAGGAACCAGGGTCTGAGCCACACAGAAAGGGAACAAAGTCCGCAGTGCGTTATCTCTGATGCCCGTAAGGTTCCTCCACAGATGCCTCTCTGCGGAGACTGAAGCTGACATAGATCAGCTGATTACACAGGCCGCCTGCTTAGTGTCCCGGAGAGACACATCTGTGGCTCGGCGTAACCCTGAGACGGCCTCTTCGTCAAGACTCCCAAACACACTCTCAGATCAGCCTGGTATTCCTGTAACACCACCATGATGTGCAGCGCAGCACCAGTCTGACCCTGATTGAAACACTTTCCCCACCAGCGTGGATGTTGTTCTGCAAGGCTTGGTGGGGAGTGTAGGCTTTTTAAATGACGATGCGCTCCCAGGGGAGAGATAGTCTCTTCAACCTGAGGCAACCGCGTGCCCTCATACCCACTATAGTCGAATAGATCGACGTCGAGGGCACAAAGACACGTGATGTATATGGTTTCCCCCATGAACGAGTTGATGTGTCATGGAGGTCTTCAGAGACGGGGAGAGACTGTCGCTCAGGCCCCTCCACAGAAATCTGTCCTCTAGCTTTGTGGACTTGGGGTCTCTTGTTCCTGTGTAACCTGGTCACTGCACGAGTCACCACCTCAAGTAGCTCTTCTTTTAATCATAGGGGGCGACGAGCGCTCAGAGGCAGCGTGTCAAAATACATTTCAACAGAAACAAGGGATGCAGCGTCCTCTGCCCGATCCGAAGAAGCGATCTGGAGAGAGCGTGAGCGAAAGGGAAAGGAGCGTCTCTCACTCCTCAGCCAGATCAACTCGCGAGCCTTACTATCTTAGTGTGGGGGCTTGTCCTTGAAGATATGTGAAACGAGTGGGAAGCACTTTAATATAGAACAGCTTACAGTGCGCGCACTCACCATGCTCGATCGCAAGAGCAAACACTCAAAGCAGAACTCATGCGTGTCAACATCAGGGATGGGCCGTGAACACGGAGGCACGCATCTCCTTGATTGTTTGCAACATGATGTTCTCTTTTTCACACTGAGAAAATTCTGAAAACACACTGCACACTGAAAGCACACTGAAAACTCGAACTCCTAACATAGTGGACAGATAGAGAGATAGTTTTCACACACACACACACACACACACACACACACACACACACACACACACACACACACACACACACACACACACACACACACACACACACACACACACACACACTCTCTCTCAATGTGGTCTCAGAAGACAAAGAAACCTGAAGGCGCACCTGTTTCACATCTATTTATAGCCTCTCACGAGCGCGCATTCCAGTGACGCTATCGTCAGAGGTTATTTCACGACTTCACACTTACAAATAAGTCAGATAGAATAAATGGTATGCACATTTGGCGTGCTGTTCGAGGAGAGGGCTCCGGGCTCGGTATTTGTCCCAAACCCAGAGTACTCCCCCCGTATTCCTGGCTGTGGAAGGAGCAAGCCGAGAGTGAGGAGTCGGGGTGGAGGAGGGATGCTGAAAAACTGTCAAGAAATGTCGGTGAGTCGACTGAGTGCCTTTATATATGCTTCCTCTCATGCTGATGGGATAGTCATGATGATTGTTGATGACAAGTTAATTGGATTGATTATTTGAACGTGCTCCTCCTGAACTTTGTTTAGTGAAACATAATCTAAAGCCAAGTTCTTGGTGTGTTTGCCACACATACTTCACAATCGGTCAAACAAAGATGTTTTCCCAAAGCACAAGGCGCTTCATTGTGAGGATCTTTTGAAAGGGAGCCAACCATATATTAAATTATTGTTTAGTAATATAATTTAACATCCCAAGTAAATTAAATCCAGAACAATATCATTGACTTTTCGTTATGGATTTAGTATTTATAGGCTTTAATGACATTCGCAGTATGTTTTCAACTTTTTTAGTTAAAATAAATTCAATTACATGATATAATATAGATAAGAAGACAATTAATGTATTTGATTAGAATAATGATATGATTATTTAAAATATTTCATATGTTGGCATTTTACTGATCTTTATTTTATTTCCACATGTGAATTGAACACATATTTTATGTAAATGTATTCAATGTGTTGGGTTCACAGGGGGGCGTTGAGTTAACCCTATTTCAATATTAATAGAAATTTACTTACTTCATCTTTGAAAATTTGGGCCTGCTCCTCACAACCAATAAGATTATTAACAAATCCAAAGACCTGGAAATCAAACAGAGATATAAATGAATAGAGCCATCATTCCAGCGGCTGTTGTTTGCTGCGTCCAGACATCATTTTAATATCCAGAAGTTCAGAAGTGTGCGGTTGTATTCTTGAGTATTGCATGTTTTGTTCAATGTTTTATTTTTCAATGTAAAATAAAGGAAACACTTTACAATAAGGTTCATTAGTTAACATTAGTTAATGTGTTAACTAACATGAACTAACCATGAGCAATGCATTTGTTATTTTATTTGTTAATCTTTTTTAATGTTTGTTAATAAAAATAAAGCTGTTCATTGTTTGTTCATGTTAGTTCACAGTGCATTAATGTTAACAAGATTTTAATAAAGTGTTAGTAAATGTTGAAATTAACATGGACAATTATTAATAAATGTTCAGTTCATTATTAGTTCATGCTAACTAATGAAGTTAACTAATGTTAACTAATGAATCTCATAGTAAATTGTTATCAAAATAAAAGTATTTAAACATATATAAGTGATTTAGTGATATACAGTATAATAATAACTGGACGTTATCTTGTACTCTGAAATACACCCATTCATTTAACTTGTAAACCAAGGGATATCCACACAGTTGACTGAAGTGAGTATTACCTCCTCTATAGTCCAGGAAGCTACTTGACTAGCATGAACTCCGGCAACCCCAGGCAGTAGTTTACAGTGCTGCTCCCAGCAGAGAGACAGGGTTCGGTCAGAGTTGGCAGTAAATGCCGTCATGAAGAGAGAAGGGTACATCCCTTCCGCCGTCATACCTGAAACCAGACACAATCACCACATTTACATCTACATGACCATTTAAGGTCCATATTCTGGTGAGAGGTCATTTTTAATCTTAAAAGAGGAATCTTACATACTTGACAGCAACTGAAATAGTCCTTTTTAAGGAGATGCTTGCACTTGTCACTAGCTATGTTTCAATCCCCCTTTTTTATGCACATTGTGGGATATCGCAAAAAAAAAAAAAAAAACGCTGGATGGACATGCCAAGATGCGCATAAAAAACATATGCGCTCAGTTGAGGCAGATAAATGTTTTATCTGATGAGAAAACATACGCATAAACTACGATGGAAACACATTTCCCGAATAAATTCCTAGATGCGCATCAAGAAAGTGGTGTGACTTTGCGCGATGGGAGGGCATAAGTGGACTAATCAGCGGACCGATCTCATTGCGCAGCATCTGAAATGCTGATTTGGTCATTCTGAAATCCTTTAGCCAAAATCTGTCGTCAAAGTGGTTTGGTATTATTACCTCCCATAGCTGTCCTGCATCTGAAAGCAAGGTAACATGACCATGATTATTGCGTTTCGTCTGCAAACTCTGAGGCGCAAGTCATTTATTATATGCTGTACGGCACAGTGGCTTTTCCTACTGCAGCAAATTACATTTTTCCTGGAACAGGAACATCCCCAAACTGTTCCCAGCATGAAATTGTCCAAAATGTCTTGGTATGCTGAAGCATTAAGAGCTTCTTTAGCTGGAGCTAAGGGGCCAAGCCCAACCCCTGAAATACAACCCCACACCATAATCCCCCCTCCACCAAACTTCACACTTGGCACAATGCAGTCAAGCAAGTACCGTTCATCCTGGCAAACGCCAAACCCACACTCGTCCATCGGATTGCCAGACAGAGAAACGTGATTCGTCACTCCAGAGAACACGTATCACTGCTCTAGAGTCCAGTGGCGGCTGCTTTACACCACTGCATCCCACGCTTTACACCACTGCATCCCACGCTTTACACCACTGCATCCCACACTTTACACCACTGCATCCCACGCTTTACACCACTGCATCCCACGCTTGACACCACTGCATCCCACGCTTTACACCACTGCATCCCACGCTTGACACCACTGCATCCCGAGCTTGACACCACTGTATCCCACGCTTTACACCACTGCATCCCACGCTTTACACCACTGCATCCCACGCTCTACACCACTGCACCCCACGCTTTACACCACTGCATCACACGCTCTACAGAGCTTTACACCACTGCATCCCACGCTTTACACCACTGCATCCCACGGTTGACACCACTGCATCCAACGCTTTACACCACTGCATCCCAAGCTTTACACCACTGCATTCCACGCTTTACACCACTGCATCCCACGCTTTACACCACTGCATCCCACGCTCTACAGCGCTTTACACCACTGCATCCCACGCTTTACACCACTGCATCTGACGCTTTACACCACTGCATCCCACGCTTTACACCACTGCACCCCACGCTTTACACCACTGCATCCCACGGTTTACACCACTGCATCCAACGCTTTACACCACTGCACCCCACGCTTTACACCACTGCACCCCACGCTTTACACCACTGCATCCCACGCTTTACACCACTGCACCCCACGGTTTACAACACTGCATCCCACGCTTTACACCACTGCACCCCACGCTTTACACCACTGCACCCCACGCTTTACACCACTGCATCCCACGGTTTAAATCACTGCATCCAACGCTTTACACCACTGCATCCCACGCTTTACACCACTGCATCCCACGGTTTAAATCACTGCATCCCACGCTTTACTCCACTGCATCCCACGCTCTACAGCGCTTTACACCACTGCATCCCACGCTTTACACCACTGCATCCCACGCTTTACACCACTGCACCCCACGGTTTAAATCACTGCATCCCACGCTTTACTCCACTGCATCCCACGCTCTACAGCGCTTTACACCACTGCATCCCACGCTTTACACCACTGCACCCCACGGTTTAAATCACTGCATCCCACGCTTTACTCCACTGCATCCCACGCTCTACAGCGCTTTACACCACTGCATCCCACGCTTTACACCACTGCATCCGACGCTTTACACCACTGCACCCCACGCTTTACACCACTGCATCCCACGCTCTACAGCGCTTTACACCACTGCATCCCACGCTTTACACCACTGCATCCGACGCTTTACACCACTAAATCCCACGCTTTACTCCACTGCACCCCACGCTTTACACCACTGCATCCCACGGTTTAAATCACTGCATCCAACGCTTTACACCACTGCATCCCACGCTTACATCACTGCATCCCACGGTTTAAATCACTGCATCCCACGCTTTACACCACTGCACCCCACGCTTTACACCACTGCATCCCACGGTTTAAATCACTGCATCCAACGCTTTACACCACTGCATCCCACGCTTTACACCACTGCATCCCACGGTTTAAATCACTGCATCCCACGCTTTACACCACTGCATCCCACGCTTTACACCACTGCATCCCACGGTTTAAATCACTGCATCCCACGCTTTACTCCACTGCATCCCACGCTCTACAGCGCTTTACACCACTGCATCCCACGCTTTACACCACTGCATCCGACGCTTTACACCACTGCATCCCACGCTTTACACCACTGCATCCCACGCTTTACACCACTGCACCCCACGGTTTAAATCACTGCATCCCACGCTTTACTCCACTGCATCCCACGCTCTACAGCGCTTTACACCACTGCATCCCACGCTTTACACCACTGCATCCGACGCTTTACACCACTGCACCCCACGCTTTACACCACTGCATCCCACGCTCTACAGCGCTTTACACCACTGCATCCCACGCTTTACACCACTGCATCCGACGCTTTACACCACTAAATCCCACGCTTTACTCCACTGCATCCCACGCTTTACACCACTGCACCCCACGCTTTACACCACTGCATCCCACGGTTTAAATCACTGCATCCAACGCTTTACACCACTGCATCCCACGCTTTACACCACTGCATCCCACGGTTTAAATCACTGCATCCCACGCTTTACACCACTGCATCCCACGCTTTACACCACTGCATCCCACGGTTTACACCACTGCATCCCATGGTTTACACCACTGCATCCGACGCTTTACACCTCTGCATCCCATGCTTTACACCACTGCATCCCACGGTTTACATCACTGCATCCAACGCTTTACACCACTGCAACCCACGCTTTACACCACTGCACCCCACGCTTTACTCCACTGCATCCCACGCTTTACTCCACTGCATCCCACGCTTTACACCACTGCATCCCAAGCTTTACACCACTGCATCCCACGCTTTACACCACTGCATCCCACGCTCTACAGCGCTTTACTCCACTGCATCCCACGCTTTACACCACTGCATCCCACGCTTTACACCACTGCATCCCACGCTTTACACCACTGCATCCCACGCTCTACACCACTGCACCCCACGCTTTACACCACTGCATCCCACGCTCTACAGCGCTTTACCCCCATGCATCCGACGCTTTACACCACTGCATCCCACGCTTTACACCACTGCATCCCACGCTTTACACCACTGCACCCCACGCTTTACACAACTGCATCCCACGCTTTACACCACTGCATCCCACAGTTTAAATCACTGCATCCGACGCTTTACACCACTGCATCCCACGCTTTACACCACTGCATCCCACGGTTTAAATCACTGCATTCCACGCTTTACACCACTGCATCCCACGCTTTACACCACTGCATCCCAAGGTTTACACCACTGCATCCCATGCTTTACACCACTGCATCCCACGGTTTACAGCTCTGCATCCCATGCTTTACACCACTGCATCCCACGGTTTACATCACTGCATCCCACGCTTTACACCACTGCAACCCACGCTTTACACCACTGCACCCCACGCTTTACATTACTGCGTCCCACGCTTTACACCACTGCATCCCACGCTTTACACCACTGCATCCCACGCTCTACAGCGCTTTACTCCACTGCATCCCACGCTTTACACCACTGCATCCCACGCTTTACACCACTGCATCCCACGCTTTACACCACTGCATCCCACGCTCTACACCACTGCACCCCACGCTTTACACCACTGCATCCCACGCTCTACAGCGCTTTACACCACTGCATCCCACGCTTTACGCCACTGCATCCGACGCTTTACACCACTGCACCCCACGCTATACACCACTGCACCCCACGCTTTACACCACTGCATCCCACGGTTTAAATCACTGCATCCGACGCTTTACACCACTGCATCCCACGCTTTACACCACTGCATCCCACGGTTTACACCACTGCAACCCACGCTTTACACCACTGCACCCCACGCTTTACATTACTGCATCCCACGCTTTACTCCACTGCATCCCACGCTTTACTCCACTGCATCCCACGCTTTACACCACTGCATCCCACGCTTTACACCACTGCATCCCACGCTCTACAGCGCTTTACTCCACTGCATCCCACACTTTACACCACTGCATCCCACGCTTTACACCACTGCATCCCACGCTTTACACCACTGCATCCCACGCTCTACACCACTGCACCCCACGCTTTAAACCACTGCATCCCACGCTCTACAGCGCTTTACACCACTGCATCCGACGCTTTACACCACTGCATCCGACGCTTTACACCATTGCATCCCACGGTTTACACCACTGCATCCGACGCTTTACACCTCTGCATCCCATGCTTTACACCACTGCATCCCACGGTTTACATCACTGCATCCCACGCTTTACTCCACTGCATCCCACGCTTTACACCACTGCAACCCACGCTTTACACCACTGCACCCCACGCTTTACACCACTGCATCCCACACTTTACATCGCTGCATCCCACTCTTTACTGCACTGCATCCCACGCTTTACACCACTGCATCCCACGCTTTACACCACTGCATCCCACATTTTACATCACTGCATCCCACACTTTACACCACTGCA